AATATTTTATAACGTAAAAGGCAAATTGAAACAATAAAGAAAAAAAAATGCTCAAAAATCACGATATAGTTAGCTATTCGCTAGTTTATTTGAAATTTTTTTTGAAGCTTATAAAACTATCTAGAACTTTTTAGACTCTTCTAGTAGTTTATGGAAATTTGCAAGATTTAGACTATATAAGCTGCCTGTTTGAGTAACGTCGATAATTACATATGAATCTGTATTCCCCAGATGGCAGCCAATTAATAAAGAAGTACAATACCATTTATATTTATTATTATTGCCTTTTAGAAATATATTCAACTATTATCTTCGATCATAATGTTTTATAAAAAAAAAAAGCTTCCACTACTGATAAAAACAAGACAATCTGGGTAAAGAACCTCGTGCAATTTTAAGAGTCACATAAGAACCTCGTCACATAAGAACCTCGTCACATAAGAACCTCGTCACATAAGAAAATAAGAACTGTTGTGCTAGAAAAACAATCACTTTGATGGGAAATGTATTAGTCACCATGAATAGCAATTCTTAATGTTGAAGAATAAACAAATAGAAGATTTACTAGACGAAAAAGCAGTTAAATATATAACAGCTATTCTCGATGAATAAAATTTACGGAAGAGTATAAAGATGATAACGGACACTACGAATGTAAACACTGGAAGAAGAAGTGGGACTGTTAGTTGTTTACAAAGAAGTTTTACTGAAAAGAAACTGTACACAATTCATTAATCGACAGCAACATGTTCTCGCGTCCTTTGCGTAGTAATGGATGAATAACTTGGAGGAAACAACATGTCACCCAATATCAAATATTCGTTTATCCCGAAACTTGTAAAGAACTACGAACAGCTCACGAAGAATTTCAAAAATGATAATGAGTGATTACTAAAACAGCAGGATTACTTGATGATACAAAATTTTGATTTCATATAACTTGGGTATTCCGCTTTTTTGAAGAATTTTGGAGTATTTCCTAAAGTGAAGTTTCAGAAAATACCTAAATTAATTAATGTTAAATAGAATTCCCGAGCAATGCTTGCTCATTTGGCATTTATTCTATCAGAAAGAAGAGATTCACTACTCGAAAATTGTAGATTCAGCTATTTTAGATGGGTGGACCATTGGTTTCATGACCAATGGTCCACCCATCTAGAATAACAAAGTGCTTAAAAACTGCATAACAACTCTCGTACTAAAAAAACTAGAAAATAACGATCAACAAGAAAAACGAGTTAATGTTTTTTTCATTACTTTTGTTGTATACATATTTATAGATCGATATGACCCAGGAATAAGAGATCACAAAAATGTCATAACCCTAATGTGTATATATATATATATATATATATATATATATATATATATATATATATATATATATATATATATATATATATATATATATATATATATATATATATATATATATATATATATATATATATATATATATATTGAATTAAATTACAAAACCAATAGTTATTACAACCATTTATAAGAAATTTTTTCAAAAAAATTTTTTAAGTCTTAGATCAGGAAGAAGCTATTTTTAAGAGTGTCACATTTAACATCTCTTTTTTTTTCTGTTTATTAATATTAATTTTTAAACGCACATATACAAATAGATAAAATAAAATACAAAAATATATACTGAACTTACAACTTAATAAAGTTTAACGAGATATCAAAGAAGATAAGGATAACAATACGTTATCATAATCTTTTCATAGAGCCCAGCTATACAAGAAATAATACGGTGAAGCCAAAATTGATAACTTAAAAGCTTCACATTATTTGGAACAGCGGTGAGTGTGGTTTTAGTGGTGACCAAGAAAAAATTTCAATTTTATGCAAAAAAGGTACCAAGTGGCTCTTAAACTTACAGAAAACAATTAAAAAATTAATTATACCGTAAACAACTGCTCGTATAAAAAAAAGTTATTATTAACAATGTTGTAAATTTATATAATTCTTTTAACAGTCATGCCATAATTTAGGTCCTCGATAGGAATACAAAATTCTGAGAGTTTATTACATTTCCGAGGCAATTTATAATTGATCTTAGATTATACTTTTCATTTTGGTTTATTTCAAACTTATTGTTTAAGTTTGCTTGCAAGTAGTTGTTTTAGTATCTTTACATAAAATTTAAATGCTGACAGATATTTATTTCAAATCATTTTCGTATCTTTGGTAAGTGGTGTTGCATGTTCTCGTTTATGTTTAGCGTGTGTAATTCAGCAAGTTTTTGTGGGTATTATTGTTTACGTACTTGCCCATGATATATTTGCGTAATTAATAAAACAGTGAACTACCCCAAAATAGATTATTTTAAGACTTAACATATTGACGTATGTTCGAACTCGATACATTGCGTCAATAATTTTGGTATTTTTTGAGTGTATATAGTTTATGTGGAAAAGGCAAAATTTCATTGACTGAGGAATGTTTAATTCTTGCATTTTTTTATAGAATGGAGTATAATTCATATTTTCAACATTAAGTGAGAGTTTGTTTGCTATAAACCAAAAATTATTTTATTTAGTTCTATATTCATATGCGTGTATTGATGTTTGTCATAATATTAAATACGATGTTTAACAAAATATTTTTGGTAAGAAATAAATTTGTATCGTTTGCAAACATTAAAGAATTCAGTTTTAATGATGACAAAAATTTGTTAATACAAATTAAGAATAGGAGCCTACCAAGGATTGATCCATGTAGCACAAGTTGACTACATATAGTTGAGGGGACTATTGACCAGAACAAGTTCACCAAAGTGGTAGAAAGTCCTTTAGTCCCTTAATTGTTACAATAACAACCAAACTGATTGAACGGTTGGTTCAGGAGTGGTTTCATGGTTTCATGTGGTAACATGGTTAGGTAAATACAAAATCAAACTTTGAAAAAATTAAAAAAAAAAATTAAAAAACTTTTTAAAAGTTTGATTTTGTCTTTGCCTAACCGCGTTAGTACCCGCGTTAGTACCCGCGTTAAACATAAAAATAACCGCGTTAGTACCCTTAAATTGGCTAAAGGTGGCCAAACTAAGTACTGAAATGTTTGGTGGACTCTTTGAAAGAGATATTAAATATTTTCTTTTCATTTATTTATAAAAATGATGCCTAAGTATTGAAAATTTGAAAAATCCAAAGCAATTTTAGCAGTACTGTATTTATACTTAAATTATAACGATACACAGTGTAAAATCAGATGGCCAAAATTAGGAAAGTAAATTTCTACTATTATAGTCTGAACTTTTACAATTATTTTTATTTTTTAAGTTTTGACAATAAAAAATTTATTTAAGAAGCATTTATAGATTTAGCTAAAGCATTCGACACAGTTCACTATTGCAAACTTTTAGAAAAAGTTAAATAATATGGTATAAATAATACAATCTATTCCTGGATTTAAAGTTATCTTACAAAGAGAAAGCAATATGTTCATACGTACAATCCGGAATAAAAATGTCGTATGCGGAGTTTTCATAACGTATATAACGTACAATCCGGAATATTAAATGTCGTATACACAGATATGGTTTCCTTGACTATGATCTTTGTCACAATCTTTTTTCACAATCTTGTCTAAGCAGTCAGGTTTAAACTTTTCTACTAGCTTTCTTAAAACTGGCTGGACTCTGTCATCTAAGACTGCAATTGTGGACTCAGGAAATACCACCTAAAAGAGAAGTAAACATCTAAACAAAAATTGAATATTTGGTTCTTGTGATATTCTCATATTTGAAATCATTTTGTGCATAATTTTACATTTCAGTAAAAATAGTGTCAGTAAAATAACTAATGAAAAGTTTAGAAATGTTTACAAATGTTTGAAATAACTAAAAACAACAACAACTAATATTAGGATGACTGGATCCTTACCTTGCCCCGATCTTTTTTTTTTTCAGGCCTCATGCTCCTTTCAATTATTTTGATGTGTCTTCATTCGATTAGTAAACTTGGGCTTTTCTCTCGGTCGATATGCTTTGAGTCCAATTACTAAAAGGTGGTTGTCCACAGTCTGACGACTTAAAAGTATATCTTGATCAGCTAATTCCATCACAATTTTCTTACATGACGGTTTTTCTGTTATTTTGGGCCATTTTTTGTATCTTTTGGTCAAGTCTTGGTGTAGTGGATCGCTTTCGACCACTCTTTTAAAGTCTTGAAGAGTCTGTTTTAATGCCTGAAGATTTTTTCTTTATCAAACTTACAGTTTATCACCATAGTTCAGTTATCAAAATTCTGATCTTTATTTTTAGTTATTAACCTTACTTATTAACCTTTTATCGCTATAGAATAATATTAACCTTACTTATTAACCTTTTATCGCTATAGAATAATATTAACCTTACTTATTAACCTTTTATCGCTATAAAATAGCATTGTAGATATGATTTTTATCTCTTAGAAAGTTTAAATTTATTACCTGCTACTTTAGACTACTGATTTACCAGAGTTCAATATTTGGCTACATATATAAAAAGTTTTTCTTATTTTTAGTAGCAATCAGTGGCGTAGGAAGGTTTTTAGATGTTTGAAATAATCAACTTTTAAACAAAAAGACTATTCTAAATTTTTTTATGTTCATATGTACGACGAAAAGATTCTTCACATGAAAAAAAAATTACTGTAATAAAAGAATGGGAACAAAAAAACCCTAAAATTTTAGCCCCCCTGCCCAAAACGTCAGAGCAATATGTTGATGAAATATATTTTGTACTATTTTCAACTAGACTTATATTTATCGATAAACTTTGAATTTCATAGTAAAATTTTTTAGTGTTCAAAAATTACGACCATACAAAGTTTAAACACCCTCAATTTGAGGGATGTGCAATTTTTATATGGTCATAATTTCTGAACACTACAATATTTTACTATGAAATTTAAAATTTATTGATGAATATAAGTCTAATTAAAATAGTACAAAAAGTGTTTCATCAACTTGTTGCCCTAACATTTGGGTCAGGGAAACTAAGATTTTAGGGTTTATTGTTCCCATTCTTCTATCACAGTAATTTTTTTTTGAGAAGAATCTCTTCATCGTACATATGAACGTAAAAAAATTTGGAATACACTTTTTGTTTAAAAGTTGGTTATTTCAAACATTTAAAAACCTTCTAGGCCACTGGTAGAAATATAATCAATTGACTCACGTTTATAATTTTGACTTCTTTTTATATTTCTGTTTATAGTCATTTGAGAATTTTTATAAACATGTTATTTGAATTAATGTGAAAATACATATCTGGAGGTTACTTATCTTGAACAAAAAACAATTCTTGAATTTGGTCTTTTCATATAAATTCAATTGTTTTTCTGAGAACGGTTTAAAGGACAAAAATTAATGTTTACATTTTTACTTATTTTCATTTTACAATCAATAATAGTTTTAAAATGTAAGGAGTTGTACGTAACAGTGGCTTTAAGCAGGATTACTTACGGATTGTCTCTAAGGCTTAGAAATTTTGCATTAGAAACTTTTTATCCACTCTCCCAAAACTGTTTAAAATCACAATAAACAGATTCCGAGGTAGTTTAGACCAAAATCAATTCCTTTATTCGAATTGGAATTGGACATAAGTAAAAGATATTAGCATGTACTTTTGGTAAAACTTTTAAATCAAGCTTAACAAAAGCGTCTTTGTACTCGTTAATGGTTAGCTTATTTTCAGGTAACACACTAGAACCAAAACATGCAATTTTAACAGATTTTGAAAATTTAAAGAAATTAACTATAGATATGACATGTTTATCTTTTTCCAGTTTGGAAAATTTTATTAATTCTTCTAACACATGACAATTTTTAAGCAGTTTAGAACATTCTCCACCTTTATTTCCCAGTTCCCTAGCATCGAACATTCTCCACCCTTATTTGACTGTCATGCACCTTAGACCTTTAAAAATTTAAAATTTAGTTCCACTGGTTTGCTGATTAATGGGGCATCCATAGATTGCAATTAATTTTTAATAACCTTTATGTTATCAGACAGATCAACAAATGAAGCAATTAATATAAGTTGCATTTTAAAAAGCTTGAATTTTTTTTTTAATCTTCAAAGGTGGCTTTGTAAGCATTAGCGAATCTTTCTAGAGTTCTGACTATGAGTTTAAAAATCATTTTTTCTTTGCTAATGTTAAACCAAAGAAAAGGATCTGTTGGTGCAGCACTTTCAATTCCAAAAAATATATAGATCAATTCCATATAAAAAGCACAAAAATATTTCATTTAGCTTTAAAATAGTGATAACATTTTCAATATTTGGATGAGATTCAGCCACTTTTTCTGTTAAACCAATAATAAACAATTTTTTTACTCCAGCATCTTTGTATTTTTCATTACCTATTCCTTCCTCATAGCTTTCTTTTTTTTTGAAATTACATTTTGTCAATTTTTCTATAATATTTAAACAAACTTTTAAAAATCCGCCTACAACGTCATATGTAGAATTTAATCTTTCGATAGTTTTATCTCCTTTATTACTGCCTCAACAAGTCCTTTAATGTATTTACCATAAACCAATTGTCTGGAATCTTTTTCAAAAATTATTTCTTTAACAGTCGTAACAGTGTGGTTAGCGCGCTTGCTTCAGAAGTGATCGATGGTTCAACGCCACCTCTGGGCAAGTTTTATGAATTCGGTAAGTAAGGAGGCATGAACTTTCTTTCAAATACTCTTCAGCGGTGCTCTGTAAGACCAAAAGGACTTCTTGGACACCTAAAATAAGAAAAAAAAAGCAAAATAAAACATCTTACTAATTTCCAAAATTGGGATTTTGACAGAGTCTTTTAATTGTTCAACGGTAGTTTGCTTACTTTTGGTTGCAGCCTTAATTTTAGTTCCCTCCTCCCAAAATTTTTTTTTTATATACTTTTGAGCATTTAAATTTGGCACCTCGTGTATCCTAATATCAAAAAAAAATTTAATTTCATCCCGGTTGGAAATGAACAACAACAACAACAACAACAACAACAACAACAACAACAACAACAACAACAACAACAACAACAACAACAACAACAACAACAACAACAACAACAACAACAACAACAACAACAACAACAAGCTATTTATTTCCCATTTTAAAATCATTTTTACAATAATAAGGTAAATAATAATTATTATTATTATAAAATAATAAGCAATAGTAATAACTTATAACAATAATAATAGTAACAAAAAAAAATTATGAATAATAATAATTACTATAATAATAAGTAAAATGATATGTTATTTCTTATTATAATAAGTTAATGGTTAGAATGGATGGTGTCACTTATACAGAAGTCTGATCAAAGGAGTGACACCAAATAATATGACTAATAATAAACATAGAGACATAAAATATAAAACATAGACACACATTAAGTAAACTTTTTAAAAATCATATATAAAAATCATATTTAAAAATCATATATGAAGGTAATAATAAAAGAGAAAAGAAAAACAAATAAAAAATAAGGATAATTATTATAGTAATAGAAAAAAGTTATAACAAAATATTTTTCAGAATTTTTTTAAATTGATTTTGATTAAGATTAAGAAAAGATGACAAAGGAGTTTGGAGTTGGAGTTAATTGAACTCATTCACAATGCACACAAGACTCTTGTTCCATTCACAGATACACTGATACACAACAGAATTCTTACGATAATTTTGAGTTTTATATGATGGTATAATAAGTTTTCCATTATTTATATTTTGCGTAGAGCTAGCGATCCATGTGGCCAAATCACTGTCTTCGTTATGATTAAAGCTAGCTATTTGCAAGCCGATTTCCCACCGAGATGTTTTCAAATTTGATAACTCAGATATTTCTAAGTTTCAAGTTAAATCATTATTAAAAGGTTTGCCCTGGCTTTGTCAAGTTCATCTGTTAAACTTTCTCTTCTCTCTTCTACAAAAATTATCACCATCGTTGTTAGAGTGCAACTCTCACAACGCTGGTGGTAATTTTTGTCCAATGACAATCCTGCACCTTTTAGATATTTTTATTGTTATAATCCTGAACCTTTTAGATATTTTTATATTTATAAATTTACCATAAAGTTAAGACCCCAAGGTCCAAATATTTGTTAGAGGAGGTGGCAATAATAGCATTAAAAAAAAAATTCTACCATTATGAACGCGACTAAAATTTATCTGTAAAATTCTAATTTAATAAAAAAATATTTTAACGTTCAAAAGTTGAACTCGTGAAATTGACATCTTTTCAGAATATTTATTTAATTAAGTCAAAAAATGAATATAATTTAAGGGGGCACAACCCTATTAAAAAAGTGTAAATTATTGAAAAAATTAATTTTTCAAAAATACACTTATTTTAACTCAAATTTATCGTAGAAACTATTGCTGATTTTTAAATTTTTTCTATCCATGCTGATATTGGTCAAAATTTCATTTATTTAGATGTTCATTATTTAAATTACCCTAGCAACGCGCATAGCAACCGTTTTTAAATGTTGTTTTTCATCTTTTTAAGCCCTTTTTTCAAAGTTGATCTTGGCTTTTTGTTTGTACAAATGGCTTTTTGTTTGTACAACGACGTAATAAGCATAATGGAGTTATTTAACTAATTAAACTACTGATTTGACAGACTGGCCTTGTTAGAATGTTTGTTTATGTTTTACAAAATTGGTTTTTATATATTTTTTTATTTTTCAGTATTATAACAAGGTAGTATGCTTTATAAGATAATTTCTATGCTGTTTTGCTAAGTATATTTATCTATCTATGCTATTTATAAGCTTTCTATCTATTGCTTTGTATATTTATGTAACTAGTATAACTAAAATGAAAAATATTTACAAAATGAAAAATATTTACAAATTGAAATGGAATCATCTTGTAAGTTTCGATCTAAAAGACATAAAAGTAGGAAGTTTTATGGCAACCAACTCTCTAAAAATTTTACTGAAAACTCTAAAGTTACAAATAAAGAAAACATAGCAACAACAGTTTCTTATACAAAGTTAAATGGTTCAATGGTTAAAGTTGTTGATAACTGCTGTTCAAAAAACATTACAGGCAACCGAATAGTTGATATGGAATTGTTAGCTGAAACTTTTAAGATTCTTTTGTGCCCAGAGTGTTCACATAATTCAGTAAAGCTTAATCAAAAGCAGAAATTAGGAATTGCTTTCGAGTCTTTCAATGCAACAATATGGAATCGTGTTCCAAAAGATGCATTTGTAAAACTAGTACAGTTGGAAATTGCTGCTTATGATGCAGTTGCTCATTTTAATATTGGAAATTTAGCAACATTAAAAATATATTATAAAATGCAGATGGAGTGAGGCAGCTACACTGAGCTTAGTTGCAAAGAAAGAAATCGTTCACGATTAAAAAATGCAAGTCGAAAAAATGGTGAGAAGTATAGGATGCGTCGCAAGTTTCTGCGTGGAGCTAAAAAGAGTAAGAGAAGTGAAAATAAAAATAATGAGGGTTTGTCATATGGAGCAGGAAGTTTTAAATGTTTATATCAAATTAGTTTTATCATACCTGTTTATATGAACATGGCATTTAACAGGGAAAAGTAAAAAATTTTTACCATTTTAGCTTTTTATTCATTCGCAAGTAGAAAAGGGTTATTAAATCTGACTTTTGAAAAATAAAGTACATCTATTGTTTGAATATAGTCTACAGTGCAATACTTAATAGATAAAAAGGCTCCAGATAAATATAATTATTATTAACAATAGAGTTAACATAATTTTTTTTTTTAAACCTTTTTTTCTAAGATTTCCACATTTTCTTAACTTTGCCTGACTGTGGCAAAGATATTTCAAAAACGGTTTGATTAAAACTTCTCATATTTTGACAGATTGTTTATTATGTACAAGGTTGTGCAATAAACCTCAAAATTATAAGAATATATGTGTTAAAAATAAAATATAACGATTTTTCGGTCATTATGGGGGATAAAAATATCGTTTTTTTTGTATCCTTTAAACAAATAAAGCACGACCCCAAGGAATAAGTAAGTTGTTAAGTTTTTGAGGTTCATTGCATACCTCTAACATCAGGCTAGTTAAATGCCAAATTTTATTCTATGTGACCTTCTGCATTTTGAAATATTTTTGCCACAAAATGGTCAATTTTTAAGTTTTTGCCCCCTAAAAATTGCCCCACAGGGCAACCCCTTCTTTTTTTTTTTTTTTTTTTTTTAATCTTAGTTTTATTATGAATTTACTTAATAAATAAAAAAAATTATTTAAATATCAAAATTAAAGATTTTTTTATTTATGGGGTTGTGCCCCCTTAAGAAATGATTTACAGGGGTGGGACCGCAAAATGTGAACACTTTTCTGATTGTAATAATTAACTTTCTATTAAATATGAACTATTTTAAATAAGAATGTCCAATGGTTGGACATTCTTATTTAAAATAGTTCATATTTAACAACTCTTTAGACACTTTCTGATGAGTGAGAGAGTACAACTACATCTAACGAGAAAATAGTTATAATAAAACAAAAACGTTCACATTTTGCGGTCCCACCCCTGTATCAAGATTATTCGCTTTTTTAATTAAATTTTGAAAGATCATATCGCCGATTTTTTTTTTGGAACCAAATGGATTTTAAAAATTTTGATTTTTCACAGTTGAAGTTTTTCTACTTTCAAAAACAAACTGAAAAAAGTTATTTTCTCAATAGATTATATATTCAAATTATTTTGATCTTGACCCTCTTTTATGTGTTTTCTTATTGTAATATTTTGAAATATTTAGTTATATTATTATTGTATTGAAATATTTGATTATTATTGAAATATTTTGTTATATTACTATTGCATTGTTTTGAAAACGGTTCTCGGTGAAAGATCTTACGACATTCTTCGAGTTACAGCGTTTTTATATTTTATAAACAACGTTGTATACAAAATATAAAAACATATTATCTTATTATCTCAGCAAATTATCTTAATATACTATCTTATAACAAAATATTTTACCAGATAATATTGTTATAAGATAATTATTACAGATAATATTATAACAATATTAATTAGTAAGATGCTGTTAACGGTAATATTGTTAAAAGAACATCAAAAATGAAAAAAAAAAACTTATTTTTTTGGATCTTGTTATTAGTTAAATTACACGGAAAGGGGATGTTCCGTTAGTCCATCAACAGCTAGCCGGGCAATCTCGTGCATGATTGCACGGAGGACGAGGCGATGTGATAAATATGGTGATTGCTGATTGAATTTTGCTTTGTTGATTAATAAACAAGATTCCATTTATCATTAATTGTATTTGTTGGTTTTAAGCTATCAGGGTAAAATGTTTATATAAACTGTAATGTAGTTTTTGTTACAAACTTTAGTTATAATCAATAGAATGTAATTATTTATATTACCTTAGATTTTGAGTAGCGCCTTGAAGTATATTAATCTTGAAGCAGTTATATACATATATTTTTTTCTAAGACGTTAAAAAAGAACAACAAACTTAAAGTGATTATTTTATTCATATAACTTGTTTTTTTGATATTAAAAAATATCTTTTGAAATAAATTTTTAAAAGATGGGCAATAAAAAAGGATAACACAAAATGTTAACAATTATATAAAAATACAAACTTATACAAAAAACTAATAAAAAAATTTTGTTATGGTAGAAAATTGTTTATAAAATAAAAACTTAAAAAAATATTTGTATATAAATAATATTGTTTTTTATGCTTACTCGGCATTTTGTATAACTGTTAAATTCTAATGGCATAAATACCTTTAGGTTAACAAACTATTTAAAATTGAAAAACTCATATATATATGGCGGTTTATTATTAACGGCCATTGATATAGATTATTTACACGGGAATCGGTTTGCCATAAAATATTTCACTTAACCTTAACTCACGATTTGTTTCTGGATGCATTAGATCACTTTTTCCAACAGGTGTATCACCATATTGCATATTTTCTGAGAAAGCATCGTGATTGTCATATAAACTTTCAACTCGCAACATTGGTTTTGTCTCGCATGCATTCGAATCAACTGCAGAATTTCTTTTAGAACGAGGGCGCTTTTTCTTTTTTGGAATTTCCTCAGGCGTGTCGTTAGCATCATATTTTTCAACATAAGTTCCTGAATCTAACGATGATATGGAAAGTCTTTCTTTTGATTTTTCAATAGCGGACTTTCGATTTTGTGAGCGGTTTAGCATGTTTTGCATATTACCATCACCCTTCGTGTAACCATCACTCATCGTATAAGCATCACTTTTTATGTAACTTTCGCTTTTCATATAGATATCCTCAAGTGCTTTTCTTTTCATCTCATGATAAAAAGACACCATGACAAAATCATCGTCTACTTCATTTTCAAGTACATGCACTATTTCAAGGAAAGATGGTCTCATTTTTGGATCCCGGTGCCAACATAACGACATAAACTCGCGTAATTGATAATCACAACCTTCTGGGTAGTCTAAATGACCATTACTGAGCACAAAATTAAGTACTTGCTCATTAGTTTTGCCTTGGTATGGCTGGGAAGCTAAAGTGCATATTTCCCACAACACGACGCCAAAAGACCTTGAGACGTTTAAAAATAAATTAATCTTAACATAATTGCTTAACAATAATAGAATAAGTTAACAAAGTTAGCAACCAAACAACAATTATAGAAGTTAACTAAGTTAGCAACCAAACAACAAAAACAATTAAACTAAGAATCGTAATAACGTATTTTTTACTATTTCAATCAAATAAATTATTTAAATATTTTAAAATTTAAAAACTAAATACGTGAACTTTAAAACTTAGCGAGTTATAAAATGAAATTAGTTTAAAGCATCTTATTTTAATAGATAATCAAAAACGAAAGTTTGAAAAATTCAAAAAATACTTATAAAAAATCTCATCAACCCTTACACTTTTTTAATTTTGTTTATCAATCCTTACACTCAACTTCTGTAAATTTGTTCATCAATCCTTACACTCAACTTCTTTAAATATTCATATTTAACATTAACTCTTTGATGCTGAAACTAAACTAACACTAATTTTTTTCATACTTAACATCTCTTTTGATTCTAAACTAAAACTTGATCTAACACTGAATTTTTCCATACTTAACATTATCTCTTTTGATTCTAAACTAAAGTATAAAATATAGTATAATAAAATAGTTGTTATATTTAAACTATTTACCAGACATCAGAAGCGGTACTAAAAATACCATCCTTTAAACTTTCAGGTGCCATCCAACGTATTGGAAGGAGCGATTTACCATCTTTTCGGTAATAATTTCTTTCATAGATATCTCTAGCCATGCCAAAATCCCCTTTAAAATTGTATTAAAAGGAATTAACAATAAAAAAACATGAATTTCTATTAATGATTGTTAGGCTATGAACTCTAGGATTATAAAAATACTATAGAAGTATTTTATGGCAAATACTTTAATAGCTGCATAATAATAACAATAACTCATAGAAAAAATGAAATTCTTTTTTCAACTGAATCTAATTAGTTTTGTGCATTTAGTTTCAGTACCTATTTTAACTGTAAAATCGGAAGCTACCATGCAATTTCTTGCAGCAAGGTCACAATGCACAAATTTTCGAGCAGCTAAATATGCCATACCATCAGCTATTTCAGCTACCATTTGGTATATTTCCTGACGCATAAGTGGAATGCCACCATCCTAAAAACAATAACATAAAAACATTAAAATAATGGATGTTATTTAGAAACATTTTTTGCTTATTTCTAGAAGGAGGGGCAAGAAAATTGATAATTATTTGAATTTCTAACGCACATCAGGCCTTCTTTCCTTTAGATAAGATTTTAAATCTCCTCTACCCATTAGTTCCATAACAACAAATGTGGGTTGTCCTTGAGACACAACACCTTTAAAAAAATTAATAAAAATCAAATGCTCTTCAAGCAATAAAGCAAAAATATATCTTTAAAAAATATAAAAAAAATTTAAAAACAACAATGTTTATATAACTATTAATTTTATATTTATACAATTAACAATTATAAATAGTCTATTAAATACAGATAAGTTATTACCAATTAACTTTACAACATGATTACAATTAAATGCTTTCATAATTGATGCTTCCTGTAAAATTTGAATTCGATCATGTATTGACGCATTTTCATTAGTAGTTTTCACAGCAACACGAAGTTCAGCATGATCACCTATGCCATGTGCAATACCTTCAAATACCATTCCAAACGAACCTTGACCAAGTTCACGAATTAATTCAATTTTTTCACGGTTTAATTCCCATTCATCCGGAATATAAACTAAAAATCATAACTAGTATATTAAATATATATGAAGGTAAATATTAATATAGATAAATATAGGATTATATAAATACATAAAGAAGAATATAGGATCATTATAAAGATCTAATAAGATATGTAAGGGTAGAGTCTACTGTTTTATAATAAAATATTTTATAGACAAATTACCTTCTTTTGAATTCATGTATTCAGGATTAACACTGGCATACAAAACTCCCTGAACATCTTTTTCCAATTTTCTAAATTAATTTTGATTCCATTATTTCACAGTGTTATCGCACTTTTTTTTTTTTTTTTTCACTGCATTGATACAATATAAAAAGTAATAAACAAAAAAAAAACAAAAAAAACAAAAAAAACAAAAAAAAAACAACCTGTGAAGAAACATATACAAGAGAATAAAAACCAGCAAGGCAACAATCACTGCAGATACAGCAGAAATAATTCCAATAATTAACTGATTATTATTTTTTGTTACAGACAATTCTGCAACTTTAAAGTGAATCTCCTCTGTCCAAGAACCATTTCCAGCTGGACTTATTGCGCGGATTTTTGCTACATAGTTTCCAAAACGGGACTTTCTTATAATATAAGTTGGTAAATAACCAGGGCGGCAAATAACAAGCGCATCTTTATCCAATGCATATCTAAACAAAAAATATCCAATGCAAATTTAAACAAAAAAAAATATAATAATAATAAGTTTTGTAAGAGTAAAAAAAATTATAACTGTTTTTAGTTCATAATTTTTTTTTAAATATGATTTAAGCTTGATGGTAATTTTTACGCTATAAGTAAAATAGGTCTTAATTTCAAAAAACATAAAAATTTAATAAAATTAAATTTTTAAGTTTTTTGATGAATTTAGAAAGAAAATAGTGATCCTTATAAATCACTCACATTTTTTATGAGAGTGTCACATTTTTCATTTTTTTATGGCAATTTTGAAATAAAAAGAATAGTGGAGAACTTAAATAGATAATTATTTTATTTTAAAAATAAAAATGATAGAGAACTTAATTAGATAATTATTTATGATGAATGATGGAGAACTTAATTAGAATGATGGAGAACTTAATTAGAATGATGGAGAACTTAATTTAAAAAATTAAAGATTGCTTTATTTTAAAAATAAAAAAATTTCAAAGAGATTTTCAAGAGATAACAAAATGTAAAAAATAAGGGGAAAGAATAACTATTTTCAATAGATAAGAAAATATAGAAATGTAATTAGGTATATATGTTTTAAAGTCTTTATTTGAAAAGTTTTATTTAACTTTAGAGAAATTGGCCAGTCTCTGTGAATTCTCATTCTCAATACAGTGTGGTAATCAAACTTTTTTGTATTAAAACATGTAACACTTGAGCAATTTAACTGAATATCCATTTTTTTTAATCAAAAATAAATGATAAAAGTGTAAAAAATTAAAAAAAAAAAAAAATGTAAAAATAAAAAATAATAAATATATAAATGTGACAAGTTCTAGTTTCAAAATAAGCTGTTAAAAAAATCATTAACAGACTCAGCTGTAGACTGAAAAACATGATTCATAAAATATTCAAGAATGTTTTTCTTAGATTTCTCATAGAAGTAAAAATACTTTTAAATACTTTTAAATATTTTTGAATATTTTTAATTACTTTTAAATTATTTTTAAATATTTTTAATTACTTTTAAATTATTTTAAAATATTTTTACTAATTAAAAAGTTAAAAAATCTTTGATTAAAAACAAAAAAATTAATTAAAAATCAAAACATTAGAAATATTGAAAACTTTTTAAAAAATTGTTAGAACAATTTACACACAAAAAAACAACAACTTGGAAGACAAGTTTAAAATTACAAAAAAGTTTCAAAACTTTAACAATTTAAAACATTAAAATTTAATACCTAAAATTATTAACATTATTTCATATTTAATTAAACATAAGATGAGATATCATAAAAAAATATACTTAAAACTTCTAACCTTATAGAGATTTCATATTTAAGAATAACAGCATTTGGTTTCTGTGGCGCTATCCAAGAAATATTATAAGAATCTAGTTGGACTTGAACCCTAACCATTTTGCTATCAAGATTATCAGCAGTTAGGTTAACACCAGTGCGTGCTTGTACGATTCCACAATCAAGATTTATTGTTGAGCTAGGTCTTCTACAACCAACAACGGTGCATCCACATACCTATTTAACAGTTAACACAATTATAAATAAAACAAAACAATTAAATAATAAAAACAGTATAAAATATTAAAAAAATAAAAGTCAACTTGCGTTTTTGCTGTAATTAAAAAACATTTAACTTTATATGTATTCGCAATTATTTTAAAGGTTTTGGATAAGTTGGAAAAAAGTTAGAACTAAATAAAATGGCATAATTATTTTTCAAAGGAGTGATTTTTTACCTTCTGTATTCTGATCGCCGACAATTTATAGAAGTGTATATATACACACACACACACATGTGTGTGTGTGTATATACACTTCTATAAATTGTATATACACTTCTATAAATTATAAATGAAAACTATATTCATGTAGCAAAAGAACACCTAGATGATTTTGTTACTAGGATTTAAAAATAAATGGAAAGCAACATTATGAATTACTAGGTGTTGTAAAATTTAAATCGAGTTAGGGAGCAGAGCTTGATCATAATCAAGCACTGCTCAATGGACCAGAATTCAATTTTACTGGACAAAATTCATAACTAATTTAATATTAGAGCTATATTCACTAAAAATTAGCATGATTAATAATATGATGCCTAAATTTGGCTCAGATTGTGTCATGTATTACCATGGATAAACGGACACATTAGTCTAATAGTGTCAAAACAATAATTCTTGAATTTTAAGCAGTCTATTTAATATCCTAAAGAAAGTGTTACCAAGATATTATAAAATCTGAATATAAGGTTTTGATCAATGCCAAGAATTTCTGCTGTTTGTTCATATGCTGCATGCAAAAGCATGCCTTAAAGTACTGCCATTTTTGCTTGTTCCAGAACCAACACTTTTAGGTGAACCAACAATAAGTCCCTTTTTGTTCATAAAATCTGTCTGAATCTTCTGTTTAGTCTCAAATACCTTTTGTTTGTGTTTTTTAAACCTTGCTTGCCACTTTCTTTGTGTTCTTTAAACCTTGCTTGCCACTTTTTTTGTGTTCTTTAAACCTTGCTTGCCACTTTCTTGTTCCTTTTTTATATGCAATATATAAAATCATCTCAAAAAATCAAATCCATACATGGAGACTGGAAAGACCATATTTAAATTCTCTGTAAGTACAATCTGTATTAAGGATATCAAGCACATGGTAAATTGTGTCAATCATTAGTGCTGCATAAAAATATTTTCTTAAAGATTTAAAAAAAAAAAATCTTCAAAGAATTACTGAGATAACATGCTATGACGATTTTGCTGAGATAACATGCTATAACAAATTGATGTAACAAAATGATTTATCTTATCTATGAATACTTTTTTATTTTTTTTCAAATTTCAATATTCAAATGCTTAAAGTTTCTGTAACTAAGGGATTTAATATAAATGAAATATCAATAAATTTCTCCTAATATATGTAATATATATGTAATATATTACATATATCCTAATATATGTAGAAACTAAAATTAAATAAGTTTTAAAGATTAGACAACATAAATTAAATTTCCATTGTGCATTGGTGTGCTTTAATTTTATAAATTCCCATTGTGCATTGAAACACTAACTTAATTTTCTATTATATAAGTTGGTTTAAGAAATTAAACAAATTAACACTTTTCTAAAACTTAACAAATTGCAAATAAATATTGTAGAGATAATATTGTAAAAAAAAATTTAATATTGATAACATTGAACAAACCTTTTTAAGTACCATAAAATGTACTTGAAAAATCTTACAAAAAAAAAGTATTTTTTTTGTAAGATTTTTCAAGTACATTTTATGGTATTTTTTTTGTAAGATTTTTCAAGTACATTGTAAGATAAACAGTTTTCCATAGTTTTAATATCTTTACCTTACTTTCTATATCAAATTTTTGGATTCTTTGTCTAAAAAACTAAAATTTTTTACAAATAATTAGATAAAATGAAGAACTCAAAACATTTTAGAAATATTGAGGACATTGATAGACATTGTTGTTTTTAAAAGAAACTAGGTTGTGTTTTAGAAGTCTCAAGAAATTTTTAATATTTTGAGCTGAGGTTTTCTACATAACTTCCTAGAAGTTTAGTTTGCACAAAAGTTTCTAAATAACTCTGGTAGCTTTAATTGAGAGAGCAATTTGATGCGGACTTGCTCAATTTGATGCGGACTTGCTCAATTTGATGCGGACTTGCTCAAAACTTTTTTCTAGACATTTAAACCTCTAGAGAACACAGAGAAATTAAAATTTTAAAAACAGTATATTGCATAATAACATAGAATGAAAAAATAAGGTGTCAAAGAGAAACCTTATTTTCTCATTCTATGTTATTATGCAATATACTGTTTTTAAAATTAAGAGAAATTATATATATATATATATATATATATATATATATATATATATATATATATATATATATATATATATATATATATATATATATATATATATATATATGTATATATACATAATTATATTTTTTCAAAAAAAAACTAAATATTTATCTTTACCTTGAGCTCATAATCTTCAAAATAATCCAAACCAGAAATTACATAAGAAAATATATTTCCATTCACAGTTACTTTAGGTTCTTCTATAATTTCAATTTTTGCTTGAGTAACTGTAGTTGATGTTGAAGTTAGAATCTTGTTTGATAGGATTAAACTAACATTTTTACTAAAATCTATTTTTGGGGGAGATTTGTTTTTGTTTCTGTAACTAAACTTATTCTTTGTAAAAAGAACCTAAAAAAAAGAAACATTAAAAAAATTAATGTAAAAATTATTATCATATTACTATAAAATGTAAAAATTATTATTGTATTATATTTATTTATCATTAATACTTATATTACTATAATATTTATTATAAATACTTAATACTTACTACACTCTTTAAAGAGTTTAGGACAGCAAGATGAAAAATTCAAGACAGTAAAATGAAAAGTTCAGGACAGCAAGACAAAAAAGTTTAGAAGAAGTCATAAACTAAGACAAACAACAATTTTGAGCTTTTCTATTTTTAAAATTCCTGAATTATGACAACTTTTTCAAAATAAATTTGATTCATTATAAACATGAATTTTATACATTTAAATTTCTGAATTAAAAAAAAATAAAGTTGGTTGTAAAGTGCTGACCTTGAACTTTGGTTGGCATCAGGTCACCACAAAATTTTTAACATAAAGGTTTCATCTTACCAATATAGAAATAAGATTGGCAAAAAATTGACACTTTTAGGTCAGCATTGCCGAATGCTAAACCTAATTTTGAGGGACCTAAAATGATATGTTGTATTGAAAATGCATGATTTCGAAAAATTTGAACTGTTTTATTTCAAGTAATTGACAAAAAAAGTAAAACTTTAATTTTTTTTGTGTTTGAAGCTCAAAATACTAAATATATATAGTTAGTGAAATATTAATTTTAATATATATTTCAGATATGTGATTATAATCTAATTGAAAAAGTTCTGTTCCATTATGGACATGTATGGACCTATTATGTGACTGCACTATAATGTCTATCCTACACCCACAATAATTCTGGAACCAAATTCTCTTATTTCCCCTGATTTTTTTACTAAAGTTTTTAAATATTTAGTATCAGTTATGATACTTAATATTAATTAATATATTATTAATTACTATTTTTAGATTATCAATGACTCAGCATTTGTGGCATTAAATGAAGTGTTATTGCATGCAATTGGCATTGAAATAGGCCAGACAAATTCAAGCCATAATTGAGGAGAAAATATTAGTGAATTGATAAAGTTCACACAAAATATTATTTATTTTTGATAAAACAATATTTATACATATAATATACAGTATAAATTATATTCATACATAAATCATATTTATACATAAATTATAGTTATACATTAATTAAATTTTTCCATTATAATCAATTTAATAAGAAAGTTGCTGTTACTATCAAAGTTTCTGTAAATACAAAAACAAGTGTTACAAAGAAACTTCAGAGATTTAAAAATGAAATTGTAAATTATTGTAATGGTGTTTTAAAAGCACCATTACAATAATTTACAATATTTAATATTTTTAAATATTGTAAATTATTGACCTTAATATTTTTGATGGAATTGCAATCTTCTAGTTCTGTTTTTCTTAGTACATTTCAGGTCACAATGGAAAATAAATTGCTAAATGATTATTTATTTTTATCAATATTATACTAATTGAGAAAACCTTGAAATTAGCTTTGCAACAACCCAAGATATGGAACCTTCTAAAAACAAACAATCATCAAAAGATTAAGCAGAAGATTGCTTAGCTGGTAAAGATTGCAGATAGTTAAAAAACCAAACATTTTCTCAATAGATTTCAAATTTATTTCAAATTTAAATTACTTAATAATACAAATTGTTGGTGATAATAAGACAACATGTAATTCTTAGATATGTGGAAAATTTTATTTGCTAGTGATTTATGATCTGGTTAAGATGCAAAAAGTATTTTTTTTGAAGATTTGCTTACAATGATGACAATCAATCATAACAACAACATAGCAATTTTATGAGCAATATATAAAGTAGCTTAAAAATGATGCTTAAAAATGATGCTTAAAAATTACAAACCAAGCTTTAAAACTTTTTCTAAGGAATGTGGCATTAACCAGTCCTTAGCTTTAAAAAATGTGAACTATTACCATCATACTTGTAATGACTATGCAGATGTAATTCATGATTTATTTGAAGGTGTCATTCCATCTGAAATTAAGTTATTTGTGTGCACACACTTTATGCCTTAAAGCTTATAAACCCCCCTGAGCCTAACCATTGTATCAATGCAATGCATTTTGGTCTGGTTAGGAACTCAAAATCTAGTTTTGTAATTATATCAATGCAATTGATTATGGTCTCATTAGTAACTCAAAGTCTACTTTTATGAGTCACATTTAAAAAGTCACATCTCTTTGTTTGGACAATGGTCAGCCCAGATTATAATACTATTTTTAAATTTACCTTGAATTTTGGCTGATGTTAATGACAAAGTAGATACTTTTAAACGAAGTTCGTGATAATTGTTAAAACAGCTGATAGAAATTATATTATTGCCTAACTTTTTTTTTTTTTTTTTTAATTATTCACCTCCCCAAGGCCTGAGGGGGCCACTACAGTCGAGGAGGCTAATCTTTTTTTTTTGTTTTTTTTTTTTTGTTGTAAATCGTGGTACAACCCTCTCTCAACTCTTTAACTCCAAAACACGAACCTTGTCAAGCAAGGCCGCTGCGCGGAGAAATTAAGTTGAGCGTGATACTTTCAGGGACATGGTGGGAGTCGAATTCCGAACATCTTGCTTACAAAGCGAACGCTCTTACCACTACACCACTACCGCATAATAACATACCTACAACTTAGGAGTATCCAATGTTTTGTACTTGAAAGATTAGAGCATCATAAGTTATTTAAAAAGATGTTATGCTGCAAAAAGGCTTTTATGTAAATACCACAGAATGGTTCATTATGGTATTATAATAGAGAATAGTGGAGAATAGCTATACATATGATGGAGAATAGTTTTACATATGATAGCAATGCAGATTGAAGCTAAGTTTAACTTTTCTATGTGTCTTAGAATTTGTAACTTAAATAACTAGAATATCAATATTTCTTATGCAACCAGAAAACTTTCTCATACTTTGATTTGAATGACTAGGTGTCCATTAAAAGAGATTTCAGAAGTTTGGGGTTATTACTTATGCAATATAATATGTGACTTATTACTTGTGCAACGTAATTTATTACTTGTGCAATATACTATGTAATTTATTACATGTGCAATATATTATATGACTTATTACTTATGTGGTTTATATTATTATAAAGTAAAATAATGTTCAATCAAAGCTGGTTTTAATAAAATCTAACAATAAATTTTTCATAAAAATAATTTAATGTGTCTTCTTTATATAAGTATTTTTCATCCTACCCTTTTATAAAAAATTTTTGGTTGTTTTTTGTCTAGAACTAACTATGCATTTTATTCTGTGTTTAATTCAAAAAATATTATTTATAAACTAGCATAAAAACGTTAAATCTTTTCAAATGTGGCAACTAATTCTTCATTAACTTGTTCCTTTTATTTGTATTTATACAATTAAATTTATTAAATGTATGAATAAAAAAAAAACTGTTATTAATAAAATAAAAAACATAAGCTTTTAGAGTAAAATTTTTTCAACAAATAATCGCTTTCTTATACTAAATTACTAATTTCCATTTGTTGCAATCATTACTTTTTAATTTAATATCTTAACACTTTTGTTTAAATTGTTTCTCAGAAAATTTTTCCGTCTATCAAAAACTAGCAGTATTTCTTATTATTCAAACTATCAACAAATTTTTTAACATATTTTTTTGAAAACATATTTTTTTTATTTTAAACTAAATATTGTTATAGTTATAAAACATTTTTTACATAAGAAGTATATATACAAATATATATATATATATATATATATATATATATATATATATATACATATATATATATATATATATATATATATATATATATATATATATATATATATATATATATATATATATATATATATATCAGGGGCTATTCTAGGAAAAAAATTTGGGTGATGGTACCACCATCCTGAAGAAGTTTTGCAGAAATATTGCCAAATATAGGCATTTATTTTGCAAAAAAAAAAAAACATTTGCTGTAAAAAAAAAAAAAAAAGGTTGTCAAGTTTTTATTTGGGCAGCACCCAAATTGGCCCCCAAATATGGCCGACGCTGTCGCAAAACAGTCTAGAATAACCCCTGTGTATATATATATATATATATATATATATATATATATATATATATATATATATATACACACACACATATAAAACACAAACAAACAAAAAACAGACCCTCATTAACTCAGTTTGAAACTCCACATTAAAATTATGTGCTTCTCTATCAGCTTTTATAGCTTTTGAATTTTCTTTCTCTTCATCGCACACACAACTTATATTGCAATATTCTAATAAAAATAAAAATATTAGTAAATAATGTGTTGGTTTGACTTTTATTTGATCCTTTCATTTGACTATTTATCAAATAAAAGCATCATTAGTTTGTAACCCACCAATACAACTGACCGAAAAGGAAAGTCATCGCCTTGTAACCTACAAGAGATAAAGAATTTGAAACCAAAAAAATCCTCTTGTAGTGACTTATAATACAACGATACATGTTTACAGTTAATAAAGATCTAATTTTTCAATTAATTTTTAGCTTCTATGATAAAAAATAAATTATAGTAGTTGGCCCCTCCCTATTAAGAGCAGATTCCTAAAAAGATCAAAAGAATTTTTAAAAATTCTTGCAACCCTTTTAATGTAATATAACTTAAACTGCCAAAAGCCAAAGTATAAAAAGATAAAACAAAAAAATAATACAATAAGAAACGCAGAAAAAAAAACAACCTACGATTGTAATTTTCTTTATTAACTGGGTAACCTGCTACATCTTTAGCATTTTTATCTCTATTTGCATCTCGACTGCACCAGTCTAATACCTTTTGCTCTTCCCAAAAAGAATAGTCTGGTTTATTGTAATAAATTTTAAATGCTGTAATTATCCCATTAGGTTTGCTAGGTGCCCTCCATTTCAAAAGAATTTTGTTCTCAGAAAGAAATGATGCTTCCACACCAAGTGGTTCAGATGGAACTAAAAAGAATAAAACAAAAAAAAATTAAGAGAAAAAAAGTTTTCTCAATGTTTTTTTTTTTTATAAAACTGTTGGAACTCTTCAACTCTTACGCAAGAAATAAGTTTCTTCTTTTTTAAGTGCGTGAGTTGTAGGTCTAAGAATTAGTAAAAAAAATTAAAAATCCTCTTAAAAACTTTTAAGCAGAAGAACATAACTGTAATGTAAACATGTAAAAAAAAGCTGAAAGTAAAACAGAAAACTTTACATAGAAAAGAATCTTGCAAGTGGACAACCTGTAAGTGAAGTATCGGTATATCACTATATATCAGTATACCACTAAAACAGCAGATAACTTATTCAAATATGACCAATAACTTAAATCTTTTAATAAAAATTCAAAAATAACTTTTTATAGCAAATTCTTTATTACTAATAAGAACTTTTTAAAAAATCTACTTAGATCCATTGACTAAAACGCTTAAACTTTACTGTGATCAAATTACTTGACTTTGACTACATAAAGATCTCTAAAAAATTAAAAAGGGACCACCCCTTTTTTTTATTTTTTTAGAGATCATAGCATTAATGTTGTATATGTTTTTTTACATCAGAGCATTAATGTTATGTATGTTTTAATTTTTCAATAATAGTTCAATCTTGTACTTTAATTAAAATTAAAAATTGAAATCAAAATATGAGTTTAAGGTTTCACTAAACTTTCTTTGACTTTAATTAAATGATCTGGTATCCATACTTAGCTATTAAACAACCTCTTTTTTACTAACGCACCACTGTTTTACCTAACAGGCTGGCTAAGATATAACCCTGTATCAAATTGCTTCCTACCTAGGATGATAAACACTAAATTTTCTTGATTCTACTTTTGGTTTTTGATTGTATGCAAATTTTTTAGCTTTAAAATGCATTTTTTTAGTTATGAGGCCAACTTATAGTGATTTATTTAGCTCTGAGGCTAACTTATAGTTAAATTTGCAAAAGTCTGTATTAATCTCATAGTGGCTGATTTTATTAACAGCTGTAAAATATTAGAGCATCAAGAACACAACATTACACATGGATAGTGTCCCTGTTAGTGCTTTTAGTGTGTATTGTCAAGACTACATAATAAGGCTATGTAATAATTAAGTATAAAAAATAAAGTAACAACTTCAGGTTGATTAGCCGGAATGAGGCAACTGCATAGCTTACTGTGTAGGGTGCCATTAGGGTGCTTTGAGTACTATCTGTTTAAGTCAAGTTCTCATTAAAACCTTAAGCCATGATTATAGTAACAATAAATGTTAAACATAAAAAAATCTATTACCAAGTTGTTTTATTCTTTCTTTTCTATATTCTATGGTCTTAAAAAACTTTTACTTTGTAAAACCTTGCTTTTTGCAAAACTTGCCAGACATACTTACTCTATGTAAGATTAACTTAAATTCAACCATTTTATTTTCTGGTCTCAGTGTTGATGACTATTTTCTTTTGATTAGACTCCAATAGTCCTACTTGCATATTGATCAAACTGCCCAAGCCCTTTTGCCAATATTTGCCAACTTTAATGCTCATTACACTGATTGACTTGATAACCACTGACTCTGCTAGCACTTGATTTGTATCTTGTCTCAAGCCTTACCCTGTGCTCAGTTTCTTCTTGTTTGTTGTAAGACGGTTCAAAACTTTTATCTTGTACTTCTTCTACATTAGATTCACCCTATCACCTGATTGTCCGATCAATTGCAATACCCGATTGTTCTATATCATTTATCTTTTCTATCATTTTAATTCTTATACTTCTTCTACATTAGATTTACCTTATCACCCAATTGTCCTATCTTTATTTTTGTCCTATCATAAGATCTTTATCAGGATTTTCTTTGTGACAATCCTTGAGTTGATGTTTTTGGTCTTTGCTGAATTTGTGGCTCATACGTATTCTCCTCGTTTCAGGCATGAAAGTTCTTATTTCTTTTTTTTTTATTTCTTCTTTTCTTCTTCTTGTTGGTTTCAAGTTCAGTCCATCGTTTTCTCCTTCTTGAGCAATTGCCATTTCTAATTGTAGTCATTTCTTTCATTTTTTTAACTGAAACAAGTCTTTTGAGAAAAATTATCAATTGCTAAGGTCCATTCTCAGATTACAAAATCTCTCATACATATCTCATATTTTATCTCAGTAAGTTAGGTTTGGAGACTTTTTGAAAAAACTTTAATAGTGTTATTACTGAAAAAAAAAAAACCAAAGGTTCCAACTCTCATACATGGGTCTTGGTCATACAAAAATCTTACTACCTTTTCAAATGATACAACAAAACTATTTGCAAAGAACTTTTCCTCTAATTTATATCTTGAATCTAATGACCACAGCTTTCCTGGCATGATCGAGAAACAGGTTAATAAATTGCTGGACATAGACAAATCACTCAGGCTTCTGTTGTTAAAGTTATTTCTCACTTAAACAGCTTGTTGTCCTTACAAAATTGAAGACTGCCTCAGTCTTTCAAAAGCATGTTCCAGAACTCTCTTCAATATTTTGTAAACTATTTATAAAATGTTGTGTTGTTGCCTGCTAAAAAATGGCATTTGTGTTGTTATGGAATTACTTTGACTACTTCAACTATTGCCTAATCTTCTTACTGGTACTACCATCTTTTAATATCCCATTTTGATTCCTCAAACTTACTTTATAACAATCATATTTTCTGCTGAGATTACTTTGACCACTTCAACTATTGCTTAATCTCCTTACTGGTACTACCATCTTTTAATATCTCATATTGATTCCTCAAACTACTTTATAACAATCATATTTTCTGCTAATTTGTTAATTAATTAACTAATTTGTTAATTATAACTGTATACAATTTAAAGTTTTGAAAAAAGTAATGGAAGAAGAATTACTTCCATGCGTTCATTGTTTATATATAACTAACATAATAATGCAATATTTTAATTTAATTAAATATTCTAAAAAAATATATACCTGAATAAAAATAATTCATTTTACAGAAATCAAAAATATTAATTATTTAAAAAGCTATGTGTTCTTAAATTAACAGCTCACTTTATGCTAACTCACTGTAAACTAAGCTGAGTTAAAAAATATTCTTAAAAAATATTGCAAACAAAACAAGCTATTATTTTAAAAAAAGACCACCTTTATTATAACTTTGAAGGGTTTACTTCAAGGTATTACATTAAAAAAATCATTTTTAATACTTAAAAAAAAATGGATTTCTGCCAAAAAATTGGGTCTCAGAAACGATAGTGCATCCTCTACCTCAACTAACTCTTACCTCTCTTTGTATGGCAGACTGTTATTTTTAATGACAATCAAAAAATGAATGTTACATTTTAATAACAATTTTAATGTTAAAAAAATCTAACATAAATTTAACATAAAAAAATCAATAAAAGCAAAAAAAAAAAAAAAAAAACTAAAATAAATAAAAAGTTAAAATCAAAAAGTTATACTGGAAAAAAAAAATAGTGAAAAAAAAATTTTGTTTTTTTGAACTAATAGACAGTTGTTTTCAGATTTTTTAATGACACCCATAACAATGTTCATATGCTTGAATTTACATTTTTTAAGCCTTACATATTTTACACCTTTAAATCCAACTAATTATCATCTTCTCAGCTCTCTTTCTCTTTTAAAGACATAACATCTTTTCTACCTTCCCAATTATCAAATTAAAAAATAATTATTTATAATGAAAAATAAAAATAATCAAAAGTAAAGTTACTTCTTATACCAATATTTTATAATATATTATACTAAAGACACTAAATGTAGGAAGCTCCTGTTAAAAAACAGTTTTGAAAATATTTGATTTTACAGGTTGCAGATATGTTTATATAAATAACTTTATAAATATATTATAGAAATAGTTTATAAAATATGACTTTATCTCAAATTAATTTAAATAAAATTTGCTCACGGTCTTGGGAGATGTTGATGTAATGAATATGGCTAGATCTTTCCTCTCCTTTTGAAACTATCTCTTTGATGTAAAATGCATATCTTGTATAAGGTGTCAATTTAGAGATAATTTTAGATTGTAGAAACAGACTTTGTTCTAAACTTTCAATTTTTGGAATATCTACAGTAATCACATTCCAATCATCGTTATTCTGACATTCGTTGTCTAGCTGCACAACTGCTTCTTGATTAGATTGTCTAAAGGAGTTAATTCTTTTTAATTTTTTTTATTTAACATAAATATACTGAACATATATTATATAAATTTTCAGTATTTATTATATAAAACTCAAATCATATATTTTAATACAACAACACATTATACAAGCACACACAAATCAATAGCCCAATATTCATTTTCCTAGGACCAAAAGGAACACTCCTTATTTTATTTCAAATTGTTAATTTCTATTGTACAACCCTCTCTCAAATCTAAAGCTTTGATACAAACCAAAACTGCTACACTGCAAGAGTCCGTACTTCTTGATTATAAAGCAACTGCTAAACCACTACACTTTTATTATATATTTTTGAAGTTGTATTATGCAAATATGCAAAAATGCTTTTATATGGTTGTTTTTATAAAACTTACGAATTTAATTTTAAAATTCATGAATTTTAAAAACTTATATTTGATTTAAAAAGGTTCAATTGGCAAAAGAACTTTAAACTAAATCACTCACCAATAATACTTTAATGTGGTTATCAAGGTGCTCTAAGAAATCATGTTGTATATAAATATGTATATATAAATACATTCACAGGAAGAGGTGTGATCATAAATTCTTTCACAGGAAGAGGTGCAATCACACATCTTTATATGACCATGCAAAAAATAATATGCTTTAACGATTTGACCACGGCTTTTGATTTTCAAAATTAAAAAATGTGTTACAATTAAATAAGATCAAACTTATTTAATTGTAAATATATGTACATATATATATATATATATATATATATATATATATATATATATATATATATATATATATATATATATATATATATATATATATATATATATATATATATATATATATATATATATATATATTATAGATGAGTATTTTTATGAAAATCCCGGAAAATTATTTTATTAAAAATTGATCGTATTAACTGAAAACAAAAACTTTCGTAAACTTTTAAAATGGAATTTAGATTAACTTTTTATAAAAAAGAATTTCTAATATTCAAAAAAGTTAATTTGAATAAATTAAAAAGCAAAAAAAAAAAGAAAAAAAATTGTTACGAAAATTGATCTCGTGAAAATTATAACTATAAAACATATTTGTTTAAATGCAAAAATTGTCGTTTTTAAAATTTTTTTAAAACAAATTAATAAAAAAAAAACATCCGGAAATTTCTGGAAAATTAAAGGAGTTTTAAGTGAATTTCCAGAATTCCCGGAAAAAACTCATTTATGATATATATATATATATATATATATATATATATATATATATATATATATATATATATATATATATATATATATATATATATATATATTAGGGTGTTGATTTTTTGGTAAATTTTTAGTATCTCCAGTTTTCTGTATAAAAAACAGATGAACTTTGGTCTGAAAGTAAACGAAAAGTCATTGGTTTTATTTAATTTTTGAAAAAGGTCACCCACCATGACCCTTGATGACACACTGGCTCCCATATATCAGTGAATTTTTTTTTCTTCAAAAGTATATCAACCTGGTTCTCAAAAGAACCAGGTTGATATACTAAATAACTATCCAGGTCTCAAAAGAACCAGAATTTTATAGTGATTTCAAAATTTATTTGTTCATCAGCTCAGGCGAAGCTTGTTTTAAAATTAATGCATGTACTTTTTGGACCACGACTATGCTTGGCTTTTATGTTTGTTATTTGTAACGGGTGGCAACTGAACAATGAAACTCGATTTAAAGATATATAACTCCTTTAAAGAATAAGGTAAAAAAAAAAGGAAAAATGTTTTAGAAAGTATTTTTGGTCTAGTTTTTAAATATATTATGTTTTTATTTTTTATAAAGAAAGGAAATAAATTCAAAACGAGAAGAGATTAGAAAATGTGTGTATAAATTATATTTAAATTACAGAAATGTTGGTAGAAAGTTCACTTAGAATGAACTATAGGAGAGTATACCTTAAAGTACAATCAAATAATTAATCATGCTGAAAAGTGAATCTGGTTACCAAAGAGTTCAAGGCAGTAGAGGAAAGGCTAAAAAATGAACTAAAAAAATATAAAAGTATATTTGACTATAAAGACGGAGTTTCTCAACAACAGGCAGCTAAAAAGTTTAATTATACTCAGCAACACATAAAATATTGAAAAAAAAAAAGACAAAAATTAACCCAAGGTAAAAAATGACAATTACAAAAGGATATGACCAGCAAAAACCAGCTTCTAGTACTAAGTGCAAATGATTGTCAGAAATTCAAAAACTGTAAACCTATTATTGATGAGTCTTATTTCACATTAAATCACTCTATTATCAATGAAAATGATATATTTTATATTAGCAATATAAAATCTACTCCATCTACAGCTAAATACCAAACAAAACAAAAACAAACAAAAAAACTACTTCTATGGATTGCTTTTTCTGAAAATGGCATTTCTCAGCCCTATTTTGTGCCTAGTGGACTGGCTGTACACCAAGAAACCTACTTAAGAAGAGACTTATTCCACTCATCAATAAGTATCTTTCAGATGGTAGATATTTGTTCTGACCTGATTTGGCATCATCTCAGTATGCAAAAACAGTAATCACATATCTAAACAAGAAAAAAGTGCATTTTGTTGAGAAAGCAGATAACCCTGCAAACTTCCAAAATGTCATCCTATCAAGAAATTTTGGGACAATTTTGAAAAGTCTTGTTTACAAGAATAACTGGCAGAAAATCTTAAAAACTTAGAACTAGATATTGCTCAAGAACCAGGTATTGCTCTGATAAAGTTAATATTGAGCTCATAAAAAGTGTAGCTCAGTCTATACCAGGCCTAGTTTATAAAGTCAGAAGGGATAGTTAAATTGAAAATGAATATATAGATAATAGAATAACTGAATATATAGATAAAAACTAAAATAAAAATACTTTTTAAAACAATTTTTCGTTTTGTTTTACCATATAACATAAAAGAGATATGTCTTAAGTTACTTAGTAATAAGTTTTTTTTTAAATTAGTTCAAATAACTAAATTAGTAAAAACTACTTTAGTTGGGACCACTTCTTAAATTAGGACCACTACTTATGTTTTTACTGAAAACAAAGATGAGGTTAAAGACCAAGAAAGTGGTTGAAATAAATAAAAATAATAATGTAACATTATTGAATCAGGAAATCACAAAGACAAGAGAAAAATTCCAAAACATCTATGTTTGAAAAAAAAAACTAAATGAATGAAAGTTTTTGAGCCTAAAAAAACAGTTACAGTGAAAGGCAAAATTTAAGGGTATTAGGGTTGTAAGACAAATTTAAGGGTATTAGGTTTGTAAGACAAATTCAAGGGTATTAGGATTGAACTTGATTGAAGTCTTAATTATTACAACTTTTTGAAAAACATTTTTACTTGAAAAACACCAGTTTCATTGTTTGGTGGAAAATAGTGTATAGGAGATAAAAAAAAACTACTATTACTGTAAATATATTTATCACTCATAGATCATCCTAGTCATATTTTAAAAATCCGGAAAATTGTTTGAATAAAATTCCGGAAAAAATCCGGAATGTATTTTCCCTTATTTTCTTTTTAATTTCCTTTTAGCTAAGTTGTTTTTAGTTTTTTTTTGACACTTTTTATATATTTTTTATGAGTGATGAATGAAAAAGCCTAAAAACCAAATATATTACAAAAATATATACCTCAACTTGCACGTATTGAAAATGTTTTGAATATCCGGAAAAACTAAAAGTTGAAAAAAATATCCGGATTTCCGGAAATATCCGGAAAAAGATAATCCCTGATCACTATGAATATTGTTAACAGTTTTTTTTTTACAATAAATATAATACAAACTTTTATACAATATAAACCTTCTGTTTAGAGAACATTTTTCAACACTAAAAATCCTTCCATTTAGAGAACAACTTCTAACATTAAAAACCCCTCAGTTTACAAAATAAATTTATGCCATTTTTTTAGATAAAATATAAAAAAAAAAATATTTTTGGCTAACTGAGAGAGGGATATCTATGTAACATAAATAAGCCTTAAGTGGGGAGAAGATGTTGATCTCACCATCTCCTCCCCACTTTACGTGATCATGAGATGGTGTCCTCACATGCCCCATTAGAAGATTTAATAAAAAAAAAAAACCTAGTGATTTAAAAAGTGCATTCTCAAAAGTTCTCAAAAAAGTTTTCTCAAAACATTCTCAAAAAAGTACATTCTTAAAAGTTATATTTGGCAAAATACAGAATGCATCAAATATAAATGCGTTTGTCCAGCAAGATATATTGACTCATCCACAAATATCCAATTTTGTCCAAAAAAACATATCAAATAATATGAACAATATAGGATTTAGAAATAAATTTTCAGAAAGAAGCTTTTTGTTTATAAGTTATTTTAATTTTGGAAATCACCACAATAACTTAAATCTATAAATCCTTTTGGCTTCCTAAAAAACATATCCTGTTATATTTATTTTTTTTTTAAGTAGGTATTTGTAGTGGTGAGCGCTCGCTTTCTAACTATTCTGAGTTTGACCCCCACTATATCCCTAGTAGTACTGCACTCAAATTGTTTCTCTACGCAGCAGGCTTATTCATCAAGATTTCAGAGTTTAAGGGTTGAGGGAGGGAGGGATATTTTGTAAGAATATTTAAAGAAAAAAAGAGAAAACTCTTCTCCCTCAATAGCCTCCTCAATAGGGTCCCTGGGGCTTTGAGGAGGTAAAAATTTTATAAGCTTTTTATATAAGAAAATTCTAATGAAAAATTAAAAATACTCACAATTCTTTAAAGTAAATGGCATAAAACAATATGTTATTATATGCACTAGTCATTGTAAAATTCCAAGTTACTTTGACACATTTAAATGAATTGCATTCTATTGCTGTCATATCTGTTTCCATGTTTAAGTCAGGGGGAATAAATTCTTCAACGTGCATAACAAGCATTTGCGTATCACCTGAGAAAGCATATATTTTATTCATTGAAATTATATATTTTCATTTATGTTATTTATTAACAATTTTAATTTTTAATTTTATTTTACTTGAATAAATAATTAAAAAAGATAATAACAGTAAAACAACCTTTTCAAGTCAAGAAAAAGTATAAGATTGAACTCTAAACATTCATAACACAAATTAATATATATATATATATATATATATATATATATATATATATATATATATCAAATAATGTTTAATGTTGTATTACAATAATAATACAAAACTCTATTTCGGTTAAGAATGCTTAACAATAAAGAAATAATCAACTTTCTAAATAGAGCAGTATATATATATATATATATATATATATATATATATATATATATATATATATATATATATATATATATATATATATATATATATATATATATTTAGTTACAGATAGAACAAACAACTCTTTATGGAACTATAAGTTTTATGCCTATACAGCAGGGGTCGAAATAAGTGCCGGACATCGCCGCCCCTCAGACCATTTTTGAGACCTGCTATATGAGGGAAACCAACCATTGTTCATTTTTTCAGTAAAAATGAACAATGGTTGGTTGCCCTCATATAGCAGGTCTCAAAAATGGTCTGAGGGGAGGCGATGTCCGGCACTTATTTCGACCCCTGCTATACAGAAATAAACAGCCATGTAATATATCAAAAACATACAAAAAAACATTAATAAAATTACAAAATACAATGGAGCAACATCTGATGTCTCTATGGAGACAAAACAAGAAAACGTCAAAGAAAAATTATATATAAATCAGCTAATCAGTATCATAAAAAGAAAGAAGGATTAAATTTTTATGTCTACAATTTGAAACCAACTCGTTACTTTTGTTCAACAGATTTTGATGCATTAAAATTTTCATTAAGACAAAGGTTCCAAATTTCAGACGAAGAATTATATGTTTGGCAGCGCTTAATAATTTTCCACTTAGAAAAAAACGAAAAGTTTTCTTTAAGTTTCCAAACTTTTTTAGATAATTCTGTATCATTTCTGTACTTAATTAATTGAAAAGATTTTAAATGGTTTGCATATCTTAACTTACATCATTTTGCTTGCAAATTTTTAAAAAAAGATTACCTATCTTTGTTGCAACATTTTTACTATATTTGGGGGATTATACCAAATAATGTTCCGTTTGTGATTTTTGTTTTGAAAAAATTAACTTAAAACTGAACAAATGAACAACTGAAAAACAAACTGAAAAAAAAAAATTCAAAATTTAACTGATATTTGAGCTTGGATGAGAAACACGATTTTAACAATGCATCATGATAGGGATATATATATATATATATATATATATATATATATATATATATATATATATATATATATATATCAATCAACCTCGAGGCAAAAAGCATAGCAACTAAACTAAATATAAACAAACAAATCAATACAATTGCCAAATCAGAAGCATTCATTACATTAAAAGACCACAAAAACAACTTTGAAAATCAAAAACCTTGTCGCTTATTAAATTCAGCAAAAAGTAAACTCGGTGTTGTCAGTATAACATACCTAGATAAAATCAACAAGGACTTAAAAAATAAATTGAAACTAAACCAATGGAAAAACACAGCTCAAGTAATCAAATGGTTTACAAACATAAGCGACAAGCAACACTGTGTATTTATACAATTCGACATCAATGAATTTTACCCATCCATCACAAAAGACATACTGAACAGCGCTTTAATATTTGCAAAGCAGCACACTGAAATCAGCAGTGAAAAAATTCGAGTCATAAATCATTGCAGAAAATCGCTGATATTCTTTAAAAAGGAAACATGGATAAAAAAGACGTATAATGATTGTTTTGACGTCACAATGGGTTGTTTTGATGGAGTCGAAGTATGCGAACTGGTGGGTTTATACATTCTAGACTCTTTATCCAAAACCATTACTAAAAATGATATAGGTCTTTAGCGAGACAACGGATTGATGGTGATGCGCAAAAAAAACTACCGCACAGTTAAACAGTCAAGTCAGAAAAAATATAATTGAGATATTTAAAAAGATCGGATTTCAAATAGAGATTCAAACCAATTTAAACAGTGTTTAAACTTTTAAACAATTTAAACTTTTAATCTTCAAAAAAACTCCTACCAACCTTTTAAAAAACAAAATGACCAACTGCTCTACATCCACACCGAATCAAACCACCCGCCCCAAGTTCTTAAGCAGATCCCTCTCTCCATTAATGATCGATTATCGCAAAATTCTTCCAATGAAAATATTTAACGCTTCAAAAACAGAATGCGAAGAAGCACTTAAACAACAGGGTTTTAAAAACTTTAACTTAAAGTACAACCCAAAAAATAAGACACCTCCCAAAAGAAAAAGGAATATAATTTGGTTTAACCCACCCTACAATAAAAGCGTCTCCACCAATGTTGGCCAAATCTTTTTGCAATTAATAGATAAACATTTCCCACCTTCGAATCCATTACATAAACTATTCAATCGAAACACTACAAAAATTAGCTACAGCTGCTCAAACAACATTTCAAAAATTATAAAAAGCCACAACAAAAAAATAAATTTAATGAACACCACTGAAAATCTCCCTTGCAATTGCAAGCAAAAAGAAATCTGTCCGCTGAATAAAAATTGCAGAGCGACAAACATCATTTAAAAAAGTATACATCTTTTCAAAACACTCCCAGCAAAGCATACATTGGTTTATCAGAAGGAGTGTGGAAAAAGATATATGCAAACCACAAGCAATCATTTTCAAATAAAAAACTTTCAAATGCAACCACTCTCTCAAAACATATATAGGGAATTAGACAAAAACTAAAAAAACACCAGAATTAACTTGGTCTATCCTAAAAAAAGTCCCCGCCTACAACAATGAAATAAAAAAATGTTTACTATGTTTATATGAAAAACTGATTATTTTGCTTTATAAAAATGCTGAAGAGCTACTCAATAAAAAAACAGAGTTAATCTCCAAGTGTTGTCACGAAAATAAATTTCTATTGAGCAACCACAAACCTGAAGATTAGATACACGTGGTCGTAACAATAAAAAAAAGTTTTTTCTGTATAGGTTTTTTCTGTATAGTTTCAATTGTATATAATTTTTTAAATGAACAAACTATATTTGTATTTCACCTGATGATTGCAGTAGTAAGAAAACATCAATTAATACGAATTCTCTTAATACAATTAATAATTTATTATTGGAAATTTTTGCTGGATTATGATTACCAGCATCATCAGCTCGTAAAAAATTAAACAAAAACTTTTTTGTAATTTTAGAAACAGTTTAAAATTAACTGACGTCAGCAATTGAACGGCTTCTTTTTTGCTTACATAAAAATGTAAAAAACTAATTTAACTAAATTAATTCCACCATGTAAAGGTGAACATTGGAACCTCTGTATTTCAAAAGCTTCGCACCCTTTTTGATCAAATTTTTTAATTGGAAAATAATTAATTGGAAATAAACGATCCCTAAAAATCAAGAAAATTCAATCAGACTCTCTTAACCATTACCGTGGATACCATCACTATTCCCGAAACTAAGGAAAACATTTCGGAAAGCTGGCTATAGATTAGTCTTTAAATCAAATCCAAAATTAAGAACATTACTAACGTCAAAAAACAAAACTAAACTGCCACATAAAAGTCAATCCAGAATTTATTTGATTGAATGCAAATGCTCAGAATGATACGTAAACTTCAAATTAGGTCTTGAACTCAGCAACATCTAAAAAGTTTAAATGAGGGGAAACATCAATCTACAATAGCCACCCATAATAAGTTTTACAAAAACTTAAGTGGCAAATTGTAAAAACAACCAAAGTTGAAACAAAAAAATTTGATCGAAAAGTGAGCAAAGCTCTTGAAATACAGAGGTTCCAATGTTCACGTTTACATGGTGGAATTAATTTAGATAACAGGCAGTTTGTGAAAACTAAATTTTGGACTCCGTTTTTTACATTTTTATCTAAGCAAAAAAGAAGCCGCTCAATTGCTGACGTCAGTTAATTTTAAACTGTTTCTAAATTAAAAAAAAAATGTCTGTTTAATTTTTTTTGCGCTGATGATGCTGGTAACCAACAAAAATTTCTAATAATAAATTACTAATTGTATTAAGAAAATTCATATTAATTGATGTTTTCTTACTAACATAACATATAATCTTATACACGTCAATGTCATGTCAACACTTAAGATGTACATTGTAACCATGTATATACCTAGCAAGTATTAATGTAGTAGATTTGTAATGGCTCTATATAAGCATTTTAAACGGTTCATTGGAGTTTTGCTCTTCTCTTATCTAGTGGACCATTAATGGCATCCGCTATAAGTGGCCAGCCAATAATTTTATAAAATGTGAAACATGGTTAGCCAGTGGCCACTTTTGATGGCTGCCACTAATAGTGCACTAAGCAACTGATGAGCAAAACTTTAGTGGACCACCTAAAAAGCCTATATAAGTCCACTAAAATTCTGTTATTGGATGTTTGCTGGGTATGTGTATTCTTTGTTATTATATATAACACAGAATATTCATTGTTTAAAAAACAACTCTTTTCAAAAATTAACAAAGTAAAACATGATTTTTAACTTTAAAATTTAGATTTTTCAAACTAATTTTTAAAAAGCTTTTTAAAAGAAGATAGATAAGGAATTTTGGACTATTATATGTTTCTTTAACACTCAAAACAAAGCAAGAAATCACTTATTTTGAAAAGACTAAAAAAGCTGCAAGCAACCAATAATTAAGTTGAGACAGAAAATAACAAAGAAAGCTAATGAGTAAGAAAATAATTGACAAAAGACAAAACTTTAAAATGTATGTGTCAGGAAAACACAAAGACAAAATTTCTAAGCATTGACATGCGCAGAAAAAAACTGGGTAAATAATTTTTGAGTATGGAGGAACAATTACTATGCTTTCTTATAAGAGGAGTCAGGTCGCACGTCTTATATAAACATGCATAATTTTTTTTTTTTAGACAACTTGACCATGGCACTTTGCCTGTTTTGATAATTTGCACAATTTAAAATGGACTGAAAAAACTTAACTAAATTGAAGAGAAAATTAGAAATAAATAAACCATAAACTGAAAAGAGAAACAAAATCTTAACAAATAATAAAACAAATAAAGAAAAAAACAGTAAAAATAAAAGCATAGAATTTTTACATTTTTTAAATTTAAAAGCATCTTAATTAATACTTTAAAGGTAATAATTTTTCACAAAACACAATGCTAGTGTAGTGCTTAGGATGATTTAATGTTATGAATATGTTTAAATTTTTTATTTCTGTATAGAATGCAGGCTCAAAACATTTTATTGATTTATTTTAACTTTTTTTGATGTTTTATTTGCTTAGTAGACAATAGAAGATATCAAAATATCAAACTTTTAAATAATTAAGTTTTGATGTAATTGAGTTTGGACTAAATAACGTTAAAACTTCGAACTTTTCTAAATGCTATGAAGTAAAATTCTTTTAAATTTAAAAAAAGACTTAATTTTATGCTTTTGTTTTTTTTGGTTTATCTTTTATTTATTTTATCATTTGTTATGATTTTGATTGTTATTAGTTTAGTTTTGTATTTTGTTTATTTTTAGTATCAATTTATCTTTTCAGTTTATGGTTTGTTTGTTTTTAGTTTGAGTTTACATTTGTTTAGTAAACACATTTTTTATATATGCTAATTTTCAAAATTTGCAAAGAGCCATGGCCAAGTTGTCCACAAAAAAAAATTATATGCATGGCCATATAAGGCATGCAACCGCACACCTCTTATGAGAAGACCAGGTTACAATAAAAAAATAAAACTTAACTGAATGACAAGTCAAGCAAGATTGAGTTTTTGTTCATGGAACAACTGATGATAGCTACTTTAGGCTTTACCTTTAAGCAACCAACATATAGAAGTAAGATTACTACCTTAGCAGTAAGAAAGATTCTGGGAACTGGGATTAAAATTTTACTGTAATCAGGGATAACAAGTTAATGGAAATGAAGAAGAAAGTTTATCCATCAAGGACTTGATGGATAAACTCTAATACTGCCATTAAAAAAAACACAAAATTTTTAATTTTCTTTTATCAATACATCTTATAAATTGAACATATGGAAAAGACAAGCATGCCAGACTCTATTAAAAGCCTTTGATATATTAAGAGTGAGCCTTTGCCTCACTGTTTCCATCACTCACTTTTCCCTCACTGTTTCCATCACTCACTTTTCCCTCACTGTTTTCATCACTCACTTTTGCCTCACTGTTTCCATCAAATTAGTGATAAAACTTTTCTATTATAACGCAAGGAGTGAATTAAGTTACCTTGAATTGCGAAATCACTTAAAATTGTGATATCATTTAATATTGTGATTAAAATAGTGATATCACTTAATATTGTGATTAAAATTGTGATGTCACTTAATATTGTGATTAAAATTGTGATATAACTTGATATATTTAATTAAATTATAATTAAATTTTTAGTTTTAATAAAAACTGTAAATACTGCTTTTATCACAAAACTCAATAAAAAATATTTGTGCATCGATTTTGAAATTACAACAAATAATTTCATTATAAAACCATATCAATATTGTTATAATTATTATTATTATTAATTATGATTTAAGCTTCAATATCTTAATTTATTTGACAAATGATCAGATTAAACTAGAAAAATAAAGCATACAATAATAATACAATCATGATTATACAATAATTTATTGTATTATAACGATTGTATAATGACATTATTATACATGTCATGTTTGTGACATCCATGATTGTCATAGAGCAAATATTATTCTTTTGAATAAAGATTTTTTAACTTTCATCCAAATAATAATATTTACTCTCTGATAATCTGTAAAACTTTTCAATAAAATATTTTTCATCAAACATTTATTTTGTTCGTTAAGATAATGAATTTCTTTTAGATGATCATTCAACTTACAGGTAAAGAAACTTTCCTATATAAATAAAAAAAAAGTAAACAAAAATTAAATTCAAGACTACTAATTCATAAATTATTCATCATCATCATCATCATCATCATCATCATCATCATCATCATCATCATCATCATCATCATCATCATCATCATCATCATCATCATTATTATCAGCATCTTTACATACCTAAACTACCTAAATCTTCCTTGATACACCTTATCAGATTGATACACCTTGATACACTCACTACTCCTTTACTACTACACACCTTATCAGATACACTCACTACTCCCTTATCACTACTACACACCTTATCAGATACACTCACTACTCTTTTGTCACTACTACACACCTTATCAGATACACTCACTACTCCCTTATCACTACTACACACCTTATCAGATACACTCACTACTCCCTTATCACTACTACACACCTTATTAGATACACTCACTATTTCCTTATCACTACTACACACCTTATCAGATACACTCACTACTTCCTCATCACTACTACACACCTTATCGATACACTCACTACTCTCTTGTCACTACTACACACCTTATCAGATACACTCAATACTCCCAATATTTGTCTTTGACATTACTCCTTCTCTTTTATTAAGAACACTCTCTTAAAAAAACTCATCTAATCGCCATCTTTTAAGACAATTAACAGCATCAATCTTTATTGCCCATGTTTTACAGCCATACAACATAACACCCAGGTATGCCTTATTCTTGCCCTTAATGCCTTTTCTTATCTAACAGCTGCTTTATTTGTAACTTTAAAATAATAAAACACAAAAAGACATTCTTCATACCCACCACTATTTATTATCTTCAACTTCTCTAAGTATTTTAAGTTAAACTAAAATTTTAATATTAATTCTTCTTCTGAAATCTTAATATTAATTCTTTTTCTGAAATTTTAATATAAAGTCTTCTTCTGTCTCTGCAATCAAGCATAAACCATCTACACAGAAAAGCTCTAAAGGTAAACCAAAAACTGAACTTTTTAGAGAGAGCTTCTAAAATAATTAAAATAACCCAAAGGAATGAGCACTGAGAGCACTGAATTGTGACAAGTATAAACATTGTTCTCAAATCCATCAGTAGATAGGATGGAAAAAATCATAAAACTTTCTTCTTAAAATATTAAAATTGGATTAGGAAAGTTGGATTATTCAAATACAAAGATATTTGATGCAAAACTTACAAACTTCCTTCAAGAAGTAGAGTTTGAAACATCTAATGGCATTATATGGAAAGAAAAACTTCATATCACTTGCAATAGTAAAAATGTAATTTATTACCTTAAATGTTTATCATGTAATAAACAAGCCACATATACTGGTAAAACTAATAAACTAAGATTACGTATAAACAGACATATTTCTAGTTGGAGAACGTGGATATCCACTGATAATATTTACAACCATGTTTATACCTGTAAACATGTCGTAATAGTATTGAACCTTTGAATCAAACCTTTGAATTGAACCTAATTGAACCTTTTTTCCAACTTCCTTGAACTTAACAATGAGATTTTTTTTATTATCATGAGAAAAGCATTTGCATAATCAGCATGATAAATTTAATTGATGTTTACTAATAGTTGCTCATAGTAACCATGTGTAATTTACATTTTTATGTATATAGTAATTTCGCAACAATAACAAAAAGAGCACTACTGATGATTCGTTAAAAGGCCTCTAGTGGTAATAAATTTTAAATATAAATTTTTATATTAGTGTGTTTTTTGAAATTGCATTTTAAATATAACATTTTGAGACAATAAAATTTCTTGGAGTTTCATTTTTGTTTGTTTACTGGTATATATCTTTATATATATATATATATATATATATATATATATATATATATATATATATATATATATATATATATATATATATATATATATATATATATATATATATATATATTTATATATATATATATATACATATACATATACATATACATATACGTATACATATATATATATATATATATATATATAAACATATATATATATATACATATATATATATATACACACACACACACACACACACACACACACACACACACACACACACACACAAACATTACGATAGTATTGAAAAGCTTCATATTTTTAAATTGGTGCTTGCTAACACCTAATTTTGTTCTTTATAATAAAATGACATTAGATTTTATAGACTTGTTCAAGACATAAAAAAAATGAATTTTAAAACCTACTAAAATATACATGTATATATAAGCAAAATTACTACACATATATCCACATTATAACAACATTAACATTTAATAAAAAGTTTGAAAATTAAATATATTTACATAAAACTTTGTGGCCATTATTCTGAAGTGAAACTTCTCCAGTCACTTTACTTCCATTTTTGTAATGAATTCGATCTTGTAAATTTCGTATGTGAAGAGGGCACAAGCGAGGGTTATACTGAAAAAATATTCCGCCATCACTAACAATGATACTTTCATTCCCAGGCCACAATTCACTTAACTGACTGTTTTCATAAACAGCCATAACATACCTAAAAAAGTGAAATTTTGAAAAAATTCAAAATCAAGAAATAAAGTAAAACAATTTATTTAATAAAAAAAAAATTCATAAATTGCAAATCATTTTTAATTAAAAATTACTAAAAGTTAATTTTAAAATTTTTAAAATCATTATTACTGGAAAAAGTTTATAAAGAAAGAATTTAACCATTGTTTTAATTTTACTGTAACCAGGTCTAGGTTGGTTGCAGAGCCACAATTGGCAACTGTTGTCAGTCTACATATGATCAATTTAAAAATAATTTGCAACAGTTAAAAAAATGCAAAAAGTACACTTACTTTATCTAAAATTAGTTTAAACAACTTGTGGCTTAAATAGGCCATCTTGAATTATTTTTTTTTTTTAAAAATTACAATATTTGTAATGATTTACAATGGTAATATTTTTAACTTTACTTGTAATATTTTAAATTTACTATATTTGATTTATATATCCACTTTATAGAAAACTAACTTTTAATAAGTTTGTTTTCAAAAAATATTTCAGGTGTCATGTGGCCCTATAAGGTTTAAAAAAGGCTTTTCAAAAGTTTTTAAAAAAAAGGTAACAATTTTTTTTTTAAATGAACCTTTTAAATAATGTATTTTTATTTTATACTATTTTATTTTCATTTTTATTTCAAAGTAACTCTAAATCTTATTCATGCTTTTTAATAATTACTTTTTTTAATATAATAAGTTTTAATATAATACTTAATTGCATTTTACATTTTATTATTTTAACATTTTGTTTTCATTATTTATTTTTATTATATTCTACATGGCCCTTATAGAATGTTGACTATATAATTGCTGAAAAAGACAATCCTGTATAAATTTTTTTATTTAATAATTAAAACTCATAAACTGCTAATTTCTTTTGAAACTTTTTATTTATAAAACCATATTTCAAATTAAATAATAAAATGACATAAAAAATGACAAAAACAACAAACTTACTTGTTGTGCAACAAAGCATTTTGTGGAGTTTCAATCACTTCAAGACTGGAAAGAAAGTTTAATGATTTAAGCGATGATTTCTGAATTTTTAAGTGACCTTTGAGTACTTTCAATGACTTTAATTCATTTAATGAATCTTCAGCTTTACCTTGATTTGAAAATATTTTACATGGTTACACTTTTCATAAAGAATTCCAAAAAGAACTAAAAATAAGTATTTTACCTGTTCCTTCCTGAAGTTGAAAAGTAAGACTTCCCTCAAAAACACTACATCCAACTAAACCTTTTTTAGAAATATCAGAAGGTACACGAATCAATGCACCATTATACAATGTGCCATCTGCCATAACATCTTGAAATTTGCAGACTAGAAAAAAAAAAAAAGTTAAAATACTTCTTTTGTTATAAACTAATTATCTTATAAACTTTTATTTATAATACTGCCTTAACTTTTAAAGTTCAAAAAAATATATATATAAATCAAAAGTTCAATAATCAATAATTTTATTGGCCATTATCTTAAAATTGAAAGGGTTGAGATGTAATTTTAAAATCTTAGAGAAACCTTTATTTTGATCAAACATTGGTAGTTTTAGAATTATTATTTAAACATTATTTATGAAATATTTTTTAGAATTATTTTTTAAATATTATTTTACAAAATATGTAAAGATATTTTTGGTAAATGCACATAACAGATAAAATTTAACATCCTACAGAAGCATTAATAAAGTTTTGGAGTACTCTACAGAAGCAATCTCTGTTAATGCTTCTGTAGTACTCCAAAATTAACTTTAAAAACATTAAAAAAAAACAAAACAGGTTTTAACTGATTTCTTTTAGAATCTTTTGTTATACTTTTGTAGATTCTGTGGGTTTATTCAAGAAAATGTAAAAATAAACCTGAGGGAAGCAAATGAACCTAAGTTTTTTTATGACAAAGTCCCCTTTTCTCCACAAAAACTTACTTAAAATTAGAAAATATGACAAAATCATCAAAAAATTAGGTTTTCACTGAAAACCTATTTTTTTGATGAAAAACAGAACCTTGATTCTAAAAATAATTTTATTATAATTTATTGACTAGCATGAGGTAAAGTGCATGCAGTGAGATCTGTTGCAAGTACATGTCCCTGACAAGTGCCATTAGTACAGGTCTCGGGCTCTAATTGTTTTATTTTGGTCACCTATATGCATTTTGTTGCATAAACATTTATAAATATATTCTTTATGACTGGTGAGCCCTGACTTTCTCCAATGTACACCACAACGACAATACAGACATTAGGCCATCCTGCTAAATGTATTTATGGCACTCAATAATGACTTCACTGACACATAAGTACATCAAGTTTTAATAGGGAACTAGTTTCAAAATGCATATCAAAACATTGTAAATTATGCACTATGTACCTTCCGTTTGTTAAACATTTTACCACATCACCGGTTAAAGTATGGAACATTAAAACTTAATTATCATGTAATTAAAATAGGTATTGGTTCAGATAAATTTAATCAGCATGTCTTCAAAATCCATAAAAATGGACCTTTTTTCAAAATATTTCCTATGTTAAAACTCTCAAATGATAATTAACTTCTTATTTATGAAGCTCACCTGCATAAACAGGGACATGCCACAATGAACATATAAACATTTACATTACTTTCAAAATTTCTTTTCCAATAAGTTTTTTTATATAATCCTTAACTAGTTCCTTTTAAAAAATTTTATAGGAAGTTCAATAGAAAGATTTTTATAGTTTTATCAATTTTGTACACAGCTGTAAAAAGGCCTTCTGTGTTTGAGAAAAGTTAAAATTTTGTACACAGCTGTAGATTTTAAATGAAAGGCCTTTTGTGTTTGAGAAAAGTTAAAATTTTGTACACAGCTGTAGATTTTAAATGAAAGGCCTTCTGTGTTTGAGAAAAGTTAAAATTTTGTACACAGCTGTAGATTTTAAATGAAAGGCCTTCTGTGTTTGAGAAAAGTTAAAATTTTGTACACAGCTGTAGATTTTAAATGAAAGGCCTTCTGTGTTTGAGAAAAGTTAAAATATTTGTTTAAATTTTACTAATAAATTTTACTGATCTTAGTATGATTAGTTTTTTCATTTGTTACCTCAAATTTTTACTTAATGATCTACAGAATAGATATATGATACAGAATAGATAAATGTCAGAAAAGGCAAAAAAATTTTAAAAGGAATCAAAAATAAAAAAAATTTAGTTTCAGTTTTGAAAATAAATAAAAAATTTAGTTTCAGATTAACAGAAATATTTTAAAAAGCCAAATACAAAATAAGAAAATTTAGTTTCTTATTGGTTTAAAATTTTGTAAAATATATTCTATTATTCTTCCTCTGCACAGTTATAAAAAACAGAACAGAAACTAATAGAATGATTTTTATTGTTGCAAATTTTTTATTGGTAATAAATAAACTTTTGAAAACTTTGAATCTTCATGCTTACCTGTATTACATTTCATTCCAGATTTACATTTCTCACACTTTTTTGTTTGGTTATTACTGATGTAATTGACGGGACACTTTGTAACACATTCTCCTTGCCATAAATAGTGATGATATTCTGTGGAATTAATTGACCAATATGGACAAGATTCTTGACAAAGAAACTTGTCAACCTAGAAAAAAAAATAGTTATAATATTACGTTTTGATTTAAAAATTTAGAACTTCAAAAAGTTATTTACCAGATATTGTTTTCTAGGGCATTTACTAACACATTGTCCGGTAGATTTTATACGATATTTTCTGCATGCATGACAAGTATTTGTAGAGTTTATTGCAGAACAACCACCCAAACACTCATGGTGGCAACATATATGATCAGAACCATCCAAGCATCCCTCTGGACCACACTGAGTATTGCAAACTAAAAAATGAAAAAACTGAATTAAAATGAACTAAACTATACAAATACCACATCTTGATATATTAAAATACTTTCAAGATCTTATCATTTTAATAAATACTTGAAAATATTTATCCTAATAACAGCTGTTTGCTGTTATTAGCATAAATAATTTCAACAACTTGCAACAAACTTACAACCATAAAAACTTTTGACAACAAAAATGTAAGAAAAATAGGTTATGAGATTTAAAAATAATCATCTCCCATAAACTATCAGTGATATTTATTTTTCTATGTAGAAATATAAACATCAGTTATAAAATTATTATTGATGTTCAATCTAAATTTTATTTGTATCAATCAATGATAAATACAAATAAAATATTTGTATTGGTCATTTTTTAATCAAAACTTTAAATGATACCTACAACGTTGACATTGTGCTTTGTTCTGTTGTTTTTTTGGCCCAGGCCCCCAACAGTATTGAGCTTTAGGATCACCATCATGTCCAGGAGCAGGATGGCAGTGTCCTTTTAGACAACCTAAATCACAGTTTAATTTATTGGATTCCAAATAAATTCCATACTGCCCTGTTTGATGAATGTCCTTAAAATATAATAAATACAAACTTTAATAAACTTTTATGCAAATTTAAAAACTATACCACTATAAGTATAGTAAGATAATACATGGTATTACCTTTATAATTGATTTCCAACGTATTGTGTTTACATAGCACAATCGATGATTTCTTCCAATATGAACACCGCCGTTAAGGATAGTAGTTAGACTTGGAAAGTATACTTCTTTTATTTCATTATAATAAATAACAAGTGCATAGTTTAATATAAGGTCTCCCCCACGAATCACTGTCAGTCCTGGAAACAAGTGAAAAAACTTAAGAGTGCAAAGGGATATTAATAAATATCCAGTAATTTCTCTAAGTTTCGGAAAATATGGCTTAAAATTTTCTTCATCATAGTACTTTGTACTTTTTACAACAAGATTTCCATGCCAACAAGTGCAATTTTGTAGGTATTGACAAAAACCCACATCTTGACAGTCTCCATTTTGATTTAACCAAATAGTAGTAGTAGCTCTTTGACCAATACAGACTAAAATAATATATTCTAAACAGTATATTACAACCCACAGCACTAAAAAACAATTTTAACAAGCTGAAACAAAACCAACTAATATAAAACAAAACAATAAAGCTTCTTGTAATACAAACTATGTTGCTTTTAAATACTATATATATATATATATATATATATATATATATATATATATATATATATATATATATATATATATATATATATATATTCTGCATATATATATATATATATATATATATATATATATATATATATATATATATATATATATATATATATATATACAGTCATGTGCATGAAAATAGCAGTGGCACAAAAAATTATAAAAAAACCTTATTAAATTTAATGATATGCATAATTTCGGACCGTAATTGTTAATTTTTCATAATTAAGTGTTATCTGACACTATTTAGTCTAAAAAAAGCTTTCAAACTTAAATGGACAATATCATACTACCATTTTTTTAAAAAAGGTACTTTTATCACATTTAATGAATGCAGATTTACCATTAAAAAAGTAAATAAAATATAACATTGATGAAAAACTATTTATTCATCTTTTGAAAATACATCTAATACTTAGTTCCATGACCCTTATTTTTCAATACTGCTTTACATCTTCGTGGCATTGACTCGATTAGATGACGACATCTTTCTAAGGGAATAGCTCTCCAAGCTGCTTCAACTGCTCTCCAGAGTTCCTCTTTATTGGCTGGTCTAGACAAAGATACTGCTCTTTTAATATCCCCCCACAGGTTTTCTATCAGGTTCAGGTCTGGGGATTGTGCTGGCCAGTTCATTACCTCAACCTTATTCTCTACAAACCAATTTTTAGCTTTACGAGAGGTGTGTTTAGGATCATTATCCTGCATAAAGATCCACTTCAAAGGCATTTCTTCTTTTGCATATGGTAACATGACTTCTTGCAGTATTTTAACATAAGCAGTTGCATCCATGATGTCTTTGATCCAAAAAATAGGGCCCAATCCAAACCAAGAAAAACAACCCCATGCCATCACCTGGCAGCCACCATGTTTTATTGTCTTGGTGGTATACTTTATATTATATTCTGTTCGTGGGGTCTTCGTACAAACTTTTCGTGAATACCTGGATTAAATAAAACAATTTTAGTCTCATCACTCCAAAGAATATTACGCCATTTCGATGATGGCCATTCTTGATGCTCTTTAGCAAATGCGATTCGATTTTTAATCTGTCTCTTATTTAGAAGTGGAGTTTTTCTGGGCCTTCTGGCTTTTAAATTGGCTTTTATCAAACGTCTTCTCACTGTCGAGGACGATATTGGTAAATTTAATTCCGTTTTTATGGCTGTGGAACTCATAAAAGGATTTATCTTCGCACATCTAATAATTTTACGGTTCGTTTTCAATGACGTTTTAAATTTTCCCCCACGCAATTCCGCTTTTTGTGTCCATTTTTGGCATTGGAAATCATTTTTGCAGAACATTGTAAAGCATCTTGGATGAATTTGTAAGTTTTACCATCTTTTAACATATTTAAAATTATTTGACGCTTCTCATTGGAACAATGTTTTGCTCTACCCATTTTAACTGTAATAAAATTGTGAAACTTAATAAAATATCGTTTAATTTTAATGAACAAACACTTACCTTAATGTATAAAAAAAATTGATGGTAAAAACAACTTTTAAGGCACTAATAGAAAATAAAGTGTATATTCACTGCTATTATAACGCACAGTTAATAAAGCAAAATTTTATAATTTAATTTAAATTCTGATACATGTATGTATAAACAGCAATATTGCCAACCTCTTTATATTTAAAAACCCTAACAGAAAATATTTAGAGAATAAAATATACAAAATTAACCATCAGTAAAAAAATTAAATGTATTTTATAAATAATTTTCTCCCACTGCTATTTTCATGCACATGACTGTATATATATATATATATATATATATATATATATATATATATATATATATATATATATATATATACATATACAGAAGCGGTAGTGGTGTAGTAGTAAGAGCGCTCGCTTTGTAAGCGAGAGGTTCGGAGTTCGACTCCCACCCCGTCCCTGGAAGTACTGCGCTCAACTTAATTGTTTCGCGCAGCGGCCTTGCTTGTCAAGGTTTGTGGTAAAGAGTTGATAAAGGGTTGTAGGTAAAGAGTTGAGAGAGGGTTGTACCACGATTTACAAAAAAATAAAAAAAGCCTCCTTGACTGTAGTGGCCCCTTGGGCCTTGGGGAGTTGAAAAATTAATATATATGTATATATATATATATATATATATATATATATATATATATATATATATATATATATATATATATATATATATATACATATATTAGAACTATGACTTTTTGATTTAAAAAAAAAAAAATAATTTCCTGTCATAAATTGATGAACTTTTATTAGAAAACATTGAAAACATGTTCAATTCTTCTTGGTTGTAAAAAAAGGTCACCCCGCAATTCAAATTATGTTTTGTCATTTATTTAATCTTGTTACTACTAATATGTGTGCTGCTACAACTAATACGTGAGGCTTTCCTGCAAATTCTTTTAAAATTTGAATATATTAGAAGTGTTTAGAACTTTAGAATATTTTGGAAAATAACAGAATATTTTAGAAGACTTTAAAACATTCTAGAACAATTTAAAACATTCTGGAACAATTTAGAACATTCTAGAACAATTTAAAACATTTTGGAACATTCTAGAACAATTTAGAACATTTTAGACTATATATAGCTGCTCATCTAATTTTATAGTTATTACAGAAGCAACACATGGTGTCGTGCAAGCCTAGTAATAGTAGCATTCAGAAGAACAAGGATGTCTGGACCAATAAACTAGTAAAATTTGAAGACTCATAAAAGAAGAATGGTCCCTTTGAAAGAATATTCACTGGAAGAAAAGTGCAGAATGCCTCTCAAAAAGCAAAGTATCGGACATTACCATTTCCTTGGAGCAAAAATCAAAGGAAAAAAGGAGCGAATAGCGGAAATTTCCAAAGAAGTCACCAAATTGTGGAAGAATAAACTGAATTTTCCTCATGTATCTGATCAAACTATACAAGCAAGGCTTGTTAAAATACTGAAATGTTATGATAAATGTGTCAAGTGGGAATACTACGAACCCCTTGATGAAATTTTTGATATTAATAAGTGGATGGAACATGGTTATCTTCCAAGGACAAGAGATTGTACCACCTCCAAGTGGAAAGCAAAGGAACAATGGGATACTCTACAGGCCAAGCGGCCAGTAAAGAAACAATCCATCCCTCTAAAAGACAAAAACTTTCTAATGAGTCATCCAACTCATCATCTTAATATCCTGGTTTTAGTGATTCTGACTGAGGCTGATGACAGTGAATATGAAAACAATGAAGAAGAAGACGAGACAACTCCTACACAAAGCAGAAAACATCATAAAAGCAAAATTGCAGTCAACTTGGCGATCTCCACAAGAGTATCAACAAAGCTGCTAAAATATGCAAGCAATTGGCTTGTTAGAGCATTGACATTCCAACTCAGCTCATGTCAATCAGCTATTTACAATTCAACAATCAAAGAGGCAATCAAGCTGAAGGAAGAAATGATTGAAAAGTTGCATATAGAAAGTTTGTTTTTACACTTTTTTTACAGTTTTACACAGTTTTTTACACTTTGATGGCAAGCACATCAACAAAATGGATTATCAAGTGGTCATCCTTAAAAATGAAAGAAGAGAATTCAAATTGGATGTCCTTGGCTTGGTAAATGGCAGGGCTTTAACTATTTCTCAAAGAATTTCTTAAGCCCTTGATGAATTTCACCTGTGGAATTCAATACAGATTATTGTTGCAGAAACCACCAGCATTAACACTGGAAAAAAGAATGATATTGTTGTAATATTGCAATGAATGTTCATAGAGAAACGCATCAACAAAACTCAGTTTATCAGTTTTCAACACCATGTATTAGATAGAATCCTACATTTGGTGATGGATGAAGAACTTGGAAATAAAACACAATCGCCGAACATCGAATATCCATTTGTATCTCAACTGTTGCAGGAGTACAAACAACTGAAAACACAGTTTGATAACGGAACAGAAGTAATTCTTGAAACATCAGACTGGAGAGAATTACTTCTGAATTTTTGTTTCATCTCACTCAAGTGTTCTGATTTTTTGAGGAAAAGGGACATTTTCCATCGATCAGGTTTCAGAAAATACCTAATATCAGCAATGCGAGGTGGAACTCCAGAGCTATACTAGCGATCCTGGCCTTCATTTTAATTCCTTCAACAAGGGCAGTTCTGCAGAGAGTCAATTTATATCAAGTTTCATAGAATAAGTGCATCAATGCATACATAAATCTACTGACATAGCCCTAGTCAGAGTCGAGTGTACATATACCAACTAACTTAAATAGGGATAAGCGCAGTGGAGTGAACATACATTAACTGAGGTTTTAAGTTTTGGAAGATTCTTTTAAATAAAAGAAAAGTATTTTAATAGTTAAGGTTTATAAATTAATTTAATTTATATAAAAAAATTATTAAAATAAATTACACTTAAATTTTAGGTAAAATTATCAAAATAATTAATAATATTTGCATGCGTACAAACAAGGTAAAAACTGCTTAATATTTAACAGAAGCTGATTAATAAAATCATATATGTTTCATAAAATCATATATGTATGAATATATAAATCAATGGACAATTTACCCCCTCATTACTGGAGTTCTATTTGATAAGACTTTTCAAATTTCTTTTCTATACTTTACTATTTTGTATATAACAAAATAACAAATTATTTACTATAACTTATTATTTTGTTGTATTTCAAACTATTCTCTGCTGTATATAAATGTATATGATTATTAGTAATTTCATATTTAAGTTTAGCTCTGTTAAATCAAACTAAAAGTTAACTCCAGGAGGTTAAGGTCTTAAGGTTGGAGGAGGTTAAGGTATAAGATCTTATCTTAAAAGTTAACTCCAGGAGGTTAAGGTCTTAAGGTTGGAGGAGGTTAACGTATAAGATCTTTTGAAAATGACTTTTATCCTTAAAATTTGCAACTTTGCTTTCTATTATAATATTTTTGTTAAAATTTTGTTGTTAAGTGAGTAATTTGAATAAAAATCTATTCATTAATACTTAAATATATTCTTGACAGAAAAATGCATTCTAGATAGGTAGAATAATGTATTCTAGACAGATAAACCAATTTATTTTAGTTATACCAAATTATTTTATACAGGTACCATAATATTCTAGACAGGTTACTCAAAGTTAAACTAAATTTTCATATTATCTTAAATGACAAAGTTAGATTATTTTTTGTCTTAAATGACTCAAGATTAAATTTTTTGTATTGTCTTTAATGACATTTTGTATTATATTTCAATTGCCATTATGCAATATTAGACATAAAATTAAAAAACAAGTATTTATCAAAGCTTACCTGCACTTAAGACTACATGAAAATTCAACACTATCAGTAAAAATAAAAATAAAAAACTTTGAACATTTTGCATCATTTACATTATCCTCAATGAACCATAGTCAAATGTTACAATTTTTTAAATGTTGCATTTTATAAAAATAGATTTCTTGTTGTTACTAAAAAAAAAATTAACAAACATTTAAATCATCAAAAAACAAAACAATATAAAGTTTTTTTTTAAAAATATATCATCAACGGAAACAACAAAGTAAACCGACATCATTTATTATAAAATTAATCTATCATCAGATTAGACAAATTATTTGTACAACTTAAAAAGAAATGTTACAAATAAAACTTACAATGAGTATGATAAATATCTTTATGCAAAAAATATGAACACCAATTTCTTCTTTATAAAACATTCTATTATAAAGAGATTAGAAGTTCTTTTAAAAAATAATCTGTTGCAATCAGAACACTAGTAATATTCTTTTTTACATAAAGAAAAATATATATATATATTTATTGTTTTTTATTTAAACAATAAAGAGTTAAGATAAAAAAAAATGTATGAGTATAGATGTAATATTATATTGGATAAATGTATGAGGGTATATTTAAAAATATATTGGAAAACAATTATCAAAAATTAATAATTAAAGTGTACAACACAATGTTTAAATTTTTTTTTTTTTTTTCTTTATAAAAAAATATTTAAAATACCAAATTTAATTGTCTGTAAAGTGTTTAAATGAGCAAAAAGAAAACATTTCAAAATTTATCTTGGTTGCCATAGCGTGAGAATTAATTCCTTGTCGATAGTCAAAATTACTGCAGCATAATTTAAAAATTTTTTAATATTGTGTATGCAACAGAATATTTTCCAATTATAAAATAAGAAAGCAATTTAACTTGCTAAAATATATTTTAAAATAATAAAATAAACTAAAAAAATTAAACTCTAAAATATAAAATACTTTTTATATATTTTTCAGCTTTTTAAGATATGTTGTCAGTTTTGTTGGGTAGTCTGTCATTACACCATCAACTTTTAATTGATTGAAACAATCGTCAAAATCTTTTTCATCATTTACTACCCATAAGTAAACTTGTATACCACGCTTTTGTAAGTGTTGAAATATTACAGGCCGAATAAGCAACCAATCTGTAATTTTTAATAGAATGCGTTCAGTTAAACTTAAATCTGCACGTTTCAAAATACTAGGTGGATATGGCAATTCAAGAAAACATTCTTTAAGAGGTACAAATGGCAGTAATCCAATATAAAACAAAACTATAAGAGTTAAACATCTTTCTTTTGAAAACACTAAGTGTATGTTTGGGTCTTGATTATAAACACAGTTAGCAACTTTTTTGCTTGCATTACCAATTGCTACCAAATTTTTTCTTTCAAATTCTTCTACCAAAGCAATAACTTTTTCAATCAGGTCTTTGTTATAAATCTTTGGATCAATATTGATAGGGATATTTGGAAATTCTTTAAAAACAGTTCTCAGTAATGGAATAAAACGGTCATTATTATTACATATTGAAACATCGTGGTGACTAAATGTAACAGGAATTTGGTGCAACAAAGGAGGAAGATCATTAAAGTTCAAGTCTGAAATATTTGCATCAACACCAGTTAATCTTTTTAAATTATTATCGTGAGATACAACAACCTAAAATTCCATTAACACATTAGTACCATTAGTCTGCTCCATTAACTCAACAGTTTCTTATTTATTAATTTATGAGATAAAACAATATTTATCATACAGATTTTATTTTAATAACACTTTAAAAATAAAAACAAATATGTTTCATAAAACAAATATGTTTGATTGCATCATTTTCATTGAACCAATAATATATTTCATTAAACCATAAGATACTTAAAAATATCAATGATACATTTGATAGAATCATTGATATATAAAATATATAAGTTGGCTTCAATAAAAAAGGCAGCGTATAACCATTTAATTTTCGAGTTCGCTATAATTATATACATATTATAAATATATTAAACAAGAATATGACTTTTGAAGATATTTATTTATATTTTATATATATATATATTTATATTATATATATATATAGATATAATATATATACATATATATACATATATATATATATATATATATATATATATATATATATATATATATATATATATATATATATATATTTATTTATATAATATAATAAAACATAATATAATAAAATATATTACTTACTGTTACCCACATTCCAAGGAATTAGCTAAATGCTAATGCTTATAATATATGTGTAATATATGTGTATTTGGAGACATTGGATTTCAAATAGATGTAAAAACAAATCTTAAATCAGTCAACTTTCTCAATGCAACATTCAATTTAACAGAAAACACCTATAGCTTTTTAAAAAACCTAATGACAACCTTCAGTACAGCCATGCATCTTCTAATCACCCACACAAGATTTTAAACACTTATCTGTATAAATCAACCCTCCGAATTAGGAAAAATGAAGTCAGAAAAATATTGTCAACTTCAAACACTTTTTTTTTGGAAGTTAGATCTGCATTGCCGAATGCCAACCCTATATATATATATATATATATATATATATATATATATATATATATATATATATATATATATATATATATATATATATATATATATATATATATATATATATATATATATATATATATATATATATATATATATATATATATATATATATATATATATATATATATATATATATACATACATTAACTAAAGCATATTTTTATAAGCCTTTGCTCACTTTTTTTGCTTACCTTAACCTATACAGCTTTTTTAGAAAAAAAAGAAAAAAAACGAAGAATGATGAATGAAACAATTGTTGCCCCATCCTAAACCCTCAGTCAATGTAGCAGCACTCCACTGCGAGTCAGGCTATTTGTCAGTCGATGTATGTACTGAAGCCCCCAGCAACAGGTCATTTCAGTATGACGTCAGATTGCTTACCTTAGTACGCAATACTATTTGAATATATATATATTTGTGTGTACGTGTGCATATATAATTTTAAAATGTCCATTAAAATGTCTAGCTGTTTATTAGCAGCAACTAACTAATAACAAATTATTTCTAACATTAACTACTAAACAATTTCGGCCCCTAAATGATCTAAAACACATTTATAAACCAAAACTTCTACTAAACAAATCATCACAAAATTCACTTTTTACTACTTGCCTGATGATTGTGGTAACACATGAAACTCTGAGTAGCAATATTATACTATAAATATTAGCAATTTAGTTGATTCCTGGTACTGCGGATAACAATAACTAATATATAATACTATATAGCTTTAGTTTATCTATTGAGCACTCTTTCAAGTATACAATAATATGCATGATAATAAAAAAGTATTTACTTAGTATTTACATGTACACCATATATACACCAATATTATTTTACTGAACTAATGATCTTTTGAATATACAACAACTATTCCAAAATTTCTCTTTATTATCTTGTATAAGAATATAAAGTTAATGATTACTATGATCCAGCCAGGAAATTAAAAAAATATGTTATATATAAAAACAAACAAATTAGATTTCATGCTACTCTAAAAGTATCCAAAAAACACACAAACCCATACATAAAAGCAAAAAACCTACTTAGTAAAAAACAAGATGTCAGTTCTTCAATCTTTTTCATTAATCTATAACTGTTTAAAAAATAATGAAATATTAATTTGAAAAATAAAATATCAATATTGTTATTTGGTTATTTGGTTTAGAACTTGCGCTTTAAACAACAACAAAAACCGAGACTTTTAATTTTCTGCAGTCTCAACACCACACGGTGGTTATTTCAGTAATACCAAATGTATTATTATTTTATGTATTAATACCCCTGTATTAATACATAAAAGTTAAAATTCAAAACTAGAGCATATTACTAAAAGCAAGATCTTAAAATGGTATAATCATAAGCAGTAAATATTAAAGATATTAAAGCGTGTACACAAAATATATGTGAAAGAATAAGTACGTCATTTTTTTTCAGAGTTTATATTAAAATCTTTTTAATTGTTTTGTATTTTGTTTACAACATGTTGTGTTTTGTTTACGTGTTGTTTCAAAAAAATGTATTAGCTTTTTGATTTAACTTAAAATTAGTTTTAAGAATGACCAAAGAAAAAGTCATAAGAGAAAAAATTATGCACAAATATTTGGAAAATCCCAATAGTAGCTACAATTCGATAGCAAAAGCATTGCAAATACATCCATACACCGTTAGTCATGTAATCCAATACTTTTCTCAAACAAAATCGATCAAACATAAATCTGGTGGTGGAAGAAAGAAGGGTTTTAAAGATAAAAAACTAGTTAGAAAACTGGTTAACAGTTTTAAGACTTACCCAAACCTTTCACTAAGGGAGCGTCCAAACATTTATGGACTTTCTCATAGTTTTGTTGTAAAAAATCGAAATAAACATGGTTTTCATTCTTTCAAAGCACAAAAAGTGCCTAACCAATCTAAAACTCAACAAAAAAGTGCAAAAACCTGCTGCAGAACAATTATATTTCTAAAAATTTCTGTATTATTCAAGACGATGAAACTTATATCAAGTACGATCATCAGCAAATTTCTTGTGCCATCTATTATATTGCCAAATGTAGAGGAAAAGCAGATAATAAATTTAAATACATATAACATGACAAGTTTGCTAAAAAAGTCTTGATTTGGCAAGCTATTTGCAGTTGTGACAAAAAATCAGCTCCCTATATTTCTCAGTCCATACTTTCTGGTCAAATATATGTTAAAGAGTGTTTACAAAAACATCTTTTACCTCTCATTAAATCAAATGATAAGAGACCTATGTTCTGGCCAGATTTAGCTTCAATTCATTATTGTAAACTAGCTTTGGAATGGTATAAAAATAATAATGTGAAATTTGTGCCTGAACAGAAAATCCTCTAAACTGCCCAGAATTAAGAGTTATTGAAAAGTACTGGGCCTTCATTAAAAGAAAAAAAAAAAAAAAACTTTGCAGAAATATTAAAGATATTAAAATATCATTTAAAAAGCATCAAATGGCTTCTATTCTTATTCTGCGCACAAGCTTATGGGTACCACCAAAGCAAAAGTTCAAAATTTTATAAGATTCCCACAGGAATAATTTGATTTTTTTTTTGATCTTTGATCTTATATTATTGTATTAAAGTTATTACTTGGTTGGAAATAAAAATTGAAGAGTACTTTTTTTTAGTTGTTTTTCTACTTTCACATTTATTTCGTGTACAAGCTTTAGATTTTAGTGGAAAATCACAAAGTATAAACCTGAGTTAAAAAAAAAACTGCTAAACTGAAAACAGTTAGCAATCAAACAAGTTAGCAATTAAACTGAAAACACTTAGCAACTAAATTAGTTAAAACCTAATATAGAAACATTGTTATTAACATTACCTGACCATCTGCTGTCAAGTGAACATCTAATTCTAGCATCTGTGTCCCAACTTCTATTGCATGACGAAAAGCTGTTAAAGTATTTTCTAAATTTTCTCCAGCCCCTCCACGATGGCTAATGTGCTGACATGAAAATAATACTTTCTTTTTCTTGTGAACTAAACAGGGATTGTGCAAAAGAATCAAGGATGCCGATAAATAACCTCCTGTAAAAACTGCAAGCCCAAGTTTTAGCATTTCTTGTTCTACACACATTTAGTTTAGTTATTTCAAAATCAGCAATCAATAAATTTTTAAGTATAAAAGAAAAACCAACAAAGTATAAAAATGCTCATATTTTGATCTGAATTTTTAATTTATGTAGTTTTTTGAAAGAAAAAGTCACTTATATTACTACAAAAGTTTTTTGTTTAAACTTATTATTAAGTCTTATTAAGTGACCAGGACCAGGGTACTGGCCCTAGTAAAATATTAAACTTTTTGTGACAAAAGGAGCATTATTATTAAGTGTTATAAAGTGACCAGAACCAGGGTACTGGCCCTAGTTAAATTTTGTGGGACTTTTTATGGGACAAAAGAATCCTTATTATTAAGTGTTATTAAGTGACCAAGACCAGGGTACTGGCCCTAGTTAAATATTGAACAATTTTTATGGGACAAAAAAAGCCTCATTATTAAGTGATATTAGAATTTGTTAACCCTACTAAACAGCATCTCCTAAAAAATTGTCTTAAAAAACTTTGGTATAACAAACATTTTAAATTTATTTATAAATAGTGATTTTTATATTATCATTTTTTTTTTGAGATTTTACTTTTTTAACTTTTTGACATTAATTTGAAGTATTTTTGATTTTTTTTTTCTCTGCTTCTTTTAGAAATAATCTAATAAAATTTATTTTTACACAACAAAGTCTTTTTAAACAACAGTAGTAAGTGACCAGGACCAGGGCTCTGACCCTAGTTAAATATGGGACTTTTTACAAACTTTGCCCTAGCAAAATTATAAGATTTAGCAGCAGTTGATAGTTAGAAAAAAATTTATAATACATTATATATTACAAATTTATGCATATTTTACTATTTTTTAAATACTGGCATATGATATGGATATGTATGAGTATAAACATATGTTTGCTGTTTATTAATGCTGGCATATAATTTCCTTACATATTTATACAAGCTGCCAAAATTCACCTAAGGAATAATTATTTTTTAACTGAAGATGGTTAAACTATACAACATTTATGATTCCATTAATACAAACAGACAACCCCACTTTAGATTTTAGTGGAAAATCACAAAGTATAAACCTGAGTTGAAAAAAAACTGTTAAACTGCCAAAATTCACCTAAGGAATAAATATTTTTTAACTGAACATGGTTAAACTATACAACATTTATGATTCCATTAATACAAACAGACTCAAACCCAACTCTCCAACCAAACAACCCCACTCTACTTTTGATCATAGCTTGGCTTCATTAATTATTTGGGAAAAAATCAGTTTTGCCAAGGCACCATTTTGCTGCAAAAAGAGGCAACCTGTTTCTTAAATTGGAATACTTTGATCATTTAATCAGAACAGCTTGATTCTTTTTAAAAAAATCCCAGTAAAATCAACAGAAATTAATTAAAAATTATTTTGATCTTTACAACGACGATTTAAACAATTCATTAAAAACTTATAACATAATTAAAATTACCCGAGCAAAATTAAATTCTACAAATAATAAATCATACACAAGCTTCAACTTTTTTTTTTTTTTTTAAATCTTCGTTTTAAACAAAGCTGCAAGTAACCACTATTAGAGTTGGAAATTACTGGAAGAGAAACAATGAAGTTTATAAAGCAAGATATTGATTAACAGATGACTTAAAAGATTGTAATTATATGAGTCAGTAAAATTATATGAATCAGTAAAATAAGATGAAAAGAGCAAAGAACTGATGTTCAAGGAAAAAAACTAAACAAATAAGAATTTTTGGAGCACTTAGAAACAGTCACAGTAAAAGGATGAGACTTGATTGATTGATGAATAACAGAAGAACGACTTTTAGTAAATGGCACTAGAGACATTAGCCCTTTAGGGCAGTGGCCTTTATAGTATTTATAGAAAAAAGAAAAAGAAGCAACATTACCACAATGTGACAATGATTGAATGATGGCTGCAAGAGCAGGTCCAACTATGTTTATAATGCAATTTATCATATTGTCTAAAAGAGAAAGGGCATCATTCGAAGGTCCACTCCAGATATGGTAACAGTATTCCACTCAAGGACGGATTAGAGATTTATAGAGATAAAAAATAGAATTCGGAGTAAGAAAGTGGCAAGCATGATAAAGAGATGCAACCTTAGCAGATGCTAATTTTGATGGACTTGATATATGGTTTCCAAAAAAAGGATCGGAGTTAATCCTAGAAGATGAAGGGGATTGAAGATTGATTGTTTTATTGATTGATCACATTAGTGAATACCAAATCAGATCATCTAAAAAAAAAGGACACAAAAAAGCTTTAAATTAATGGTGCACCTGCAATTTTAAGGGATAACATTCAAAATCTCTCAAATCGTAGAAAATAAAATATTTTACTAGAGGAATACAAAATATAGCCATGAGACATTTTATTTCCAAAATAAATATAAGTATTCCGATTTCTGCGACTCTCTTCTATTTATATGGTGTAGTATTTACTGAGAGAAGATAATGATCAGATAGATGTGTGGTGTGACTTTAATAACTCAAGAAAAGAGGCCATCATCTTAACAGAAACTAGGAATATTTTCAGAGAAGATTAAGGTGGTTTGGGTATGTTGACCAACAAATACTCAAATGATTTGAGTATCAGTATGTAGATGGCAGTTTGATAAGAAATAAAAAGAGGTAGAAATAAAAAAACTTGGAGAAAGTGCATTGAATATGGTATTATCAAGCTTCAGTCAAGGAAAGTTCAGTTATGATGCAAAAAAGAAAAGATGCAAAGCATCTTCTTTCCTTAGCAAAAAAGTAGATAACATACTACATAACAAAAAAGTAGATGCAAAGCATCTTCTTTCTTTAACTGAACTAAGATTGTTTTGCAAGAGAAATTGGGGAGGCTTTTGCAAACTGGGAAGGCTTAAGCAATGATCATCATGATCATGATGAAGCAATGATAATCATAATCATGATTGTGATGATAAACATGATGAACATGATGATATTTATATACATACATATAAATATAACATGAATTTTAAATAAAAATAACATATTTCATGATGTATCACAAACCCAGCCCCTGCCCTAGCTATCTTCTATCAAACCCAGCCCTGGCCCTGGTCAAGTATCAACCCTGCTCTCTTACTAGATAGCATGGAATACCAGCTCAATTAGAAAAGAAAAAACCTTCATACTATAATAATTATATACTACTTATATACTAATTATATACTCTTTTTGAAAAATTATAAGAGAATATGTATCTCATTTGTAAAACTTTGTATACTGTCTAAAAATAATACTTCAAAATGTTTAACAACTTTACCATACACAAATTTATTAACATATTTTAAACAATAAATATTATAAACATTTAAAATTCTTCGAAAACATTAAATAAGAAAAATTCACAACATTAACCTATTAATTACAGCAGTTAACTAAATAAAATTGTATAAATGAATACAAGTAAAAAACATTTATAAAAATATTATTGGGGAGATATTGTTTTATAACCACTTTTCATACTGTCAAGATATTTGGATAATCTTGTTGGATAGTCCGTCATGATTCCATCTACTTTTAAATATTCAAAGCAATATTTAAAATCATCTTCTTTATTAATGACCCAAATGAAAACTTGTATGCCACGTTTTTGAAGGTGCTTGTAAAGAGTTGGACTTCTCAATAACCAATCACATATATATAAAATAACTTTAAAAAACATTGGAATATTTGGGTGCCTTAAAAATGTCCGAATAAATGGTATTTCAAAAAAATGTTCTTTAATACTTAGAAAAGGTAAAATTCCGAAGTAAAAAGACACAACCAGTAAAATAGCTTGCTTAACAGAAAAAAAATATGGAACATTTTTTTCTTTTCTATGCAATAATTTTGCAGTTTTATCATTAACAGACCCCATTGCTATCAAATTTTTTCTGTTATACTTTTCTACCAGTTGAAGAACTTCATTCACTAAATTTTCATTATGAGTCTTAACATCTATGTTTATAGGCATTGTTGGAAACTCGTCAAACAAATTTTGAAGTAAAGGTATCTTTCTATCATTGTTTGAACAAGTAGTAGTTTCATTTGGATTAAAAGTTACAGTCAAAGTGTGAAGTAACAAAGGCAAATCGTTATAATTTAAATCTGAAATGTAACAATCTTCACCAGTTAACCGCTGCAAATGATTATCGTGAGATATAACAACCTAAATCAAAATTTTATTATTTTAATATAATTTTAATATAAATAACTAGAATTTATAATACTTTCAATAACTCAACATTATAATTAAATACATCAACATTTTTTTCCCCTTTACTGCTTTATTTAAAAACTGAAAAAAGTTTTTTTTTTTAAGTTTTTTTTTTTTTATTGTTTGGTAGACTGCCTGCCCCAACCAAACCCTCAATCAATGTAGCGGCACTTCCTTGTAGCAGTATGCTATAAGATAGTCAATGAAGCAACACTCCGCGCATGTTATACAGTGAAAAAATAAAAATTAAACATTTAGAATGTTTATATTAAAAAAAAAAAAAAAACGATAACATTTAGAATGTTTTTAAAACTATTTGTTTAATTTTCTAGTTTTTTAATTCGCGTTTACAGTTTAGGATGTTGAATGCTGGATCTTCTTGACTCGATGCATGGGTTTTGCTTGTGTCTGTTTTTGCATGGGTTTTGCTTGTGTCTGGCAACTCATTCTATTCTCTCCTAATGAGGGTACAGCTCTAAAACTCAGTTTTATGGTTCTGAGGCCGGCTGGTAGTCAGGTTTCCTGAACTCTGTGGTAGCTCTCAGAGAGGCTGATTCCTTCAACAGCTGTAAAATATGGATGGTGTCCCTGTTTGTACTTTTGGTGTGCATTGCCAAGGCTACATTGGAGCCCTTTGTTACGGCTTAGGGGATATTAATAGTAATAAGGCAATTGCTTGGACTATTAAACAGTGTACTGAGTACTATCAGTGTACTGAGTACTATGCTTCGCGTCAAGTTCTTTAACAAATTTAAAAATGAATAAAGTAACAAAAACTATAAAACACAAAAAACCACAGTCATCACCAAGTTCGCTAAACCGATCATTCACTAATATTCGTGGTCTTCGAAGTAACTTTTCTTCTGTTGAGTCTTATCTCTTGCAAAGTTCACCACTTGGCCTGGGCATTTACATTCGTAAGAATTCACCCATATGTTGGGTTTGAATCCACAGACTACTCTTTTATGTGTAGTCTGTGGATTCAAACTAGGTTTGAATCCACAAACTACTCTTTTATGTGCTTTCGTTTAGCACCACTTCACTCTATCACCTTTCTCTTTGTTCTATATTGCTCTCCTTCTCTAAAGACTGCACTCTTCTTGATGTTATTTCTGATTATATTGACCAAGCCCTCTCTCTTTATTCATCAGCCAATATTGTTGTTGTCAGTGACTTTAATGTTCATCACACTGAACCATGGCTTGGCTCTAGTGTCAGTGACTCTGCAGGCATTAAACTTTTGCCTTTCTCAATCCCTAACTCAAATAGTCAACTTTCCAACTCGCTTTTCAGACAACGCGAATCATTTACCTTCTCTACTCGACTTGTGTCTTGTTTCTGATCCTATTCAGTGCTCAGTTTCTCCAAATTCACCCTTAGGTGCCTCTGATCACAGTTTGATCTCTCTAAAACTGTTATCTTATTCTTCATTATGACTAGAGTCCCCCTATCATCGCATATCTTACAACTTACCTACCTCAAAGCTGACTGGAACTCTTTCCATAATTTTCTTCGTGATGGCCCTTGGTTAGAAATCTTTTGTCTTCCTGGTGACAAATGTGCTTCTTACATAACTTTGTGGATTCAGGCTGGCATGGAATCCTTTATTCCCTCTCGACTATTCTAGGTCAAGCCTCACTCTTCTCCATGGTTTTCCTCACATTGCGCTGCTGCAATTGCCGATCGAAACCATTACTTTCATATCTATCAGCAAAACAATTCTCCAGAAAACAGACGTCTGTTTATTACTGCTAGGAACCATTGTAAAAATGTTTTGTCTAACACCAAAGCCTGCTATTCTCAGATCATGAAATCTCATATTTCATCTCAAAAATTAGCCTCTCGTGACTTCTGGAGAATCTTTAATAGTATTAATAATAAGGCCAAGTCTGTAATTCCCCCTCTTTTATATGGTTCAGACTTTGTCACCTCACCTAAAGACAAAGCTGAATTGTTTGCTAAGAACTTTTCATCAATATCATCTCTTGATTCCACTAGTTTTGTTCAACCTGATGTAGCCGTCAAACAGGTTGATACATTGCTCAACATCCGTATCACTCCAGCTACTGTATCTTAAGTGATTTCCTGCTTAGACTATTCTACAGCTTGTGGCCCGGACAACATACCTGTTATAGTCTTGCAGAAGTGTTCTTCGGAGCTGTCATCTATCCTTTCAAAACTATTCAACAAGTGCTTATCAGAGTCTTGTTTGATAACAGATGCTGCTTTCCAGCCTGCTGGAAAGCAGCATCTGTTATTCCTATTTTTAAAAATTCTAGAGAGCAATTTGGTTCGTCTAACTACTGCCCCATTAGTTTTCTTCCTATCATAAGTAAGGTTTTTGAATCTTTAATTAACAAACACTTAATCTCTCATCTGGAATCTAAAAACTTACTTTCTGATCATCAATATGGATTTCGATCTTCTCGTTCTGCAGCTGATTTGCTAACAGTAATAACCAATAAGTTTTATTGCGCATTAGAAAAAGGTGGAGAGGCCATCACTCTTGAAATTTCTAAAGCGTTTGATAAAGTTTGGCATGCTGGTCTTCTCCATAAGCATTCTTCTTATGGTGTATCTGGAAACATCTTTAAGATTATTGAATCCTTTTTTTCCAATCGTAGTATAAAAGTTGTCCTTGATAGACAGCACTCTTCTTCTTATTCTGTAACCTCTGGTGTTCCTCATGGTTCAATTCTTGGCCCTATACTTTTTTTAATTTACATTAACGATCAACCAGATATTCTCACATCTAAGGTGGCATTGTTTGCTGATGATACTACCATTTATTCTTGTCACGATAAGAACTCCCTCTGATTGCTAGCAGGGGACATTTGAGCTTGAAAAGGATCTCACTTCTGCTACAGCGTGTGTACTTGCAGTGGCTGGCGAACTTTATTTCAGATAAAACTCAACTTTTTTCAGCCAATCATTATTGCAATAATTTAGACCTTCCTATATTTATGAAGAGTAATGTACTCGATGAGTCATCTACCCTTCGTCTTCTAGGATTAACTCTTACTTCTGATCTTTCTTGGAAACCTTATATCAAATCTGTTGCAAAATTAGCATCTGCTAAAGTTGCATCTCTTTATCAAGCTCGACATTTCTTACTCTGGATTCTATTCTCTATCTTTATAAATCTCAAATCCGGCCTTGTATGGAATACTGTTGCCATATCTGGGGCGGATCTTCTAATGATGCCCTTTTCTCTTTTAGACAAGGTGCAAAAACGCATTATAAACATAGTTAAACCTGCTCTTGCAGCCAACCTTCAACCTCTGTCACATCGTCGTAATGTTGCTTCTCTTTCTCTTTTCTACAAATACTATAATGGGTACTGCTCGAAAGAGCTAGCGTCTCTTGTGCCATCTACTAAAATTCATTCTCGTGTTACTCATCATTCAATTAAGTCTCATCCTTTTTCTGTTACTGCTCCTAAGTGCTCCAAAAACTCTTATTCGTCTAGTTTTTTTCCTCGAACATCAGTTCTTTGGAATTCGCTTCCTTCATCTTGCTTTCCTGATTCATATAATTAGCAATCTTTTAAGTCATCTGTCAATTGTTATCTTGCTCTACAATCTTCATCTTTTCTCTTCCAGTCACTTCCAACACTAATTAGTGGTTGCTTGCAGCCTTGTTGGAAGCGAAGATGTTTAATATATATATATATATATATATATATATATATATATATATATATATATATATATATATATATATATATATATATATATATATATATATATATATATACATACATATATATATACTTCTTTTTTATTAAATTCACCTCCCCAAGGCTCCTGAGGGTGCTGCTACAGTCAAGAAAGCTACTCGTTTTTATTTTATTTGCTTAATTCTAAACTTGAATTGAGCTTGGTACTACTATCTAACAAGGCAAACAAGACTATTTATTTCTGTTATCAAAAAGGCAAGTAGGCTACTTTTAAAATAAAGATTTTTTTATAATTAAAAAATATTTGTAAAAATAACTTCAACTTTTCAATTGTACCAAGGAAACTTTTCCTCATATTTATTAAACAGTGAAAAAATTTATTGTAAAATTTTAAGACTAATTTTACCTGTGAATCAGCTGTTAATTGAACATCAATTTCAAACATCTCTGTACCTTGACTTGCTGCATGACGAAATGCACTCATTGTGTTTTCCAAATTTTCCCCAGCACCTCCTCGATGACTTATATGTTTACATTTAAATGGATGTTTTTTCTTCTCATGAAGTAGGTGTGGATTGATTAAAAACATAAACGATGTCATAAGATAAGTAATAAAAACACCAAGAACAACCCATAGCCATATCATTTTATTTTTTGGAAAAAATCTTTATCAATAAAAATATTTTTAATGCAATCAATTTTCAAAAACTTGTTATTATTTCTATTACTAACTTAGTTTTTCTAAAGTAATAATAATAATAATAATAATATAATAAATTTTTGCTGTACACAAGACAAATGTAATGTAAGCCTTTACAATTGCCAATCTTAAATTTTGTTCATCTTGGCAAAATACAGTTTATTTTTCAATTAAATTTTTATTTCATTTTGTTTATTTTTGAAATGATTAAACATGCTTTTGAAGTTGTTTACATTATCTAAATTAATTATCTCTTCTATTGAACTACTCTATTTGTGAACTATTCTGTTTGTGAAGAAGTTAAATTTTATGGTAGGGCAAATGAGTTGTTTTTATATTTTCTGCGTATGACTTTTTGTTATTGCATACTTAGTTATTTGAGAAGGATGATTCCTTTGAACTTTATCCATATTTTTATTTATTTTATAATATTGAATCATATCACCGCTTGTACTTCTTGTTTTTAAAGTAGTTAAGTTAAATCTGTCTGTCTTTATAGCAAACACTCTTTAAACTAGTTACTCATGTAGGCCATGTGGTCATTTTTTATTTATTTATTTGAATTTCCATGCTATATTTTTCTATATAAATGTTATATCGAAAGATATTGTTGACTTGGTATAGGAACAGCCACAAATAGTAATTAAGACTAATCCAAAGTAACATCCATTATTGACCAACATTTTTGCTTACAGAAGTACTACTTAAGCACTGAGTTGTCGGTGGCAGGATTTGAACCTGAATCTTACAACAGGGTTTTAACTTTTCATTTGACACTCTAACCAACTGAGCTATCCAGCCACTATATAGGTGTTCTAAATTCCAATTGTGATGAACTAATGACATGCATAATAATATCATTGAACTTTCATTGAATTGCCAAAAAGAGTTATTTATCTGAGCAAGCTCTTGCAACTATCTATTGATCAAAATCATAACACCAAGATCTCTCTCTGAAGAAAATATCTCTGCACAACTGAAACATTTTGCTGAATCATATTGAGTGTACTTCACATAACTACAGTTCAAGCTTGTTTTTTAAATAAAGAACTACAGTTCAAGCTTGTTTTTTCTTTATTGAAGTTGATTAGCCATGTTCTTCAATGCCATATGATTGTAGCTTTAATAATAATCTTTTATGTGCAACAAAGTCAAAAGCTTTAGTAAAGTCATATTAAAGAAAGAAAAAAAAAGTTAGTAATAGAAATGATAACTTTGTTATTATAATTGTTGTTATGATAATTTCTGTTTAACCCCTTTTCATAAACATGTAAATTAAACATGGATATTCTACAAAAAAACTTGGACTGCATACTGATAAATCTTGTAAATGTTTTACTGTCATTTAAAATTTATTTTATGTTAAACATTAATGTACATTTGTGTATGTATATGTATGTTATATATATATATATATATACATATATATATATATATATATATATATATATATATATATATATATATATATATATATATATATATATATATATATATATATATATATATATATATATATGTACATTTTATATTATATATAAAAGCATATTTGTGTATGCATATATATATATATATATATATATATATATATATATATGTGTGTGTGTGTGTGTGTGTGTGTGTGTGTGTGTGTGTGTGTGTGTGTGTGTGTGTGTGTGTGTGTGTATGTATGTATATATATACATACAGGGGTTAAAGTAGAGGGAAACGACGCTCCCCCATAGCCAACAAATCACAAAGTTATTTCGCTTCTCTATATATATTTTTGCAACCATTCCACTAATACATCGCGTTTTAGAGTTGCTGTTTTTTTAATGTGATTGTCCATAAACTAGGCAAATCCTATTTTATTTCATTAATAAAAGTAGAAGATCATTTTCATATTTGTGATTTTCATTGTAGTTTTACTTACAATTAATTTTAAAGTTGCATAATTTATGGATGATCCAAAAGAACTTGTAATAAAATAAAATAGTTAGAAAATACAAGTTTAAAAGAATACTTTCCAGCAATTTCAAGTATTTTAATGGCATTAATTAAACATTTAAAGACATTAATCGACACGCTTAAAATTTTTAATGGTAACACAGATTGCCAAGATTAAAACGTCATTCCTCATCAATGATCATACCTGTGAGCAATGTATAATGTGAAACGGGTTTTTTGATGATGAATATCATCTGTACATCATGATTGATGTTCATCAGCATTGAAGATCCACCACTAAAAGAATTCCAGCAAAAGGAGTAAACAAAAGAATGGTAAATCTAGGTAGGTAAACAGTTGATTGCGAGAAAGGTCCATGTAGAAAGGGAAAAAAATTAACTGGAATAAAATCATTTTTGAAATAAAATCATTTGTGTTTCAAAATGCTCATAACACTTTGATACTATTGTATTCAATACTTATTTAACATTGAACATAATTATTTTTTGTTTATCTTATTACATTTCTGTTTGAACAAAAAATTTTCCCTAATATAAGCATATAATTTAGGCAAATGACATAAGCAATTGATCGTTGACAATTTTGGTCATAAGCCAATAAATAACTTAATTTATAAGTCAGAGGGGCTACTCCACATCACTTTGAACACACCTTTTAAACTTTTTAACACTGTTTTACTTGATTTCCTATTCTACTTCAACCCTTGTATATATATATATATATATATATATATATATATATATATATATATATATATATATATATATATATATATATATATATATATATATATATATATATATATATATACAGTGCTCAAAGTGGGGCGGGATGCAGCGGAATTTCATCTTGTAAAATTATAAAGTATAAATCATCCTGCCACCTTTTTAAAAATCTTTATATATAACAATGATTAGGCTGGATGGGATTTTTGATTTACTACATATATACACTGAATAATACATACATATATACACTGAATAATACATACATACATACATACATACATACATACATACATACATACATACATACATACATACATACATACATACATACATACATACATAAATACATGCATACATATATACATACATACATACATACAAAGTATATACACAAGTAGAAATCTCCTATTTAGACGCTTCCATTTATGCTCCACAAAGGTTAAGTTGTTTAAATTGTATTACATTTTTTTTTATGGGGCTCCTCTGTGGCAAAGTTATCATGTTAAAATAATGGCACACCTTCAGTAATTTTAAAACAAATGTGCTAAAAGCTTGATAGTGCTTGATCTCTCATGTAACTCTACCAACCACACATAAAACAAAATAACTAATGATCAGCAAACTAAATAAAAATTTTAAGTTCTGTTGAACTTTTGTGCAGGATATGTTCTGCTCAGAATAATCGGCTTTTTCAAAGATCTCAGAAACTGCAACTTTGTGCAAATCATAGGTTTAACGAGCATATCAATATATCAAAATATTTTAAAAAACCTACCACCTTTATAAATTTGCACTTTTAAAAGTGCATTTTCTTACTTTTAACATATCACATTTCTATTTTATCATAATGATAAGATATATATTTAAAAGAGTTTGGCTTTGAAATATGAAAAATAAAATATATATGTCAAAACTTGCTTTCATTAAGTACTAGTAACAACTGATCTAGAATTGTGTTTTACTTTTCAACGTAGCTTTGGAATAAATTGCAAATGCAATAAAAAATTAATAATGACTTGAATAAAAAAATGACTCAATTGATTTGTATGTTAAATAAGTTTAATATTTAGATGCCTACCATAAATTTAAAAGAGTTACAGCAATTTCAAAAATTTTCTTAAACTAGGCATAAAATTTTTTATGTCTAGTGTGAGAGAAAAAAAGACAAAACTTTTTTTTTTTTTGAAAAGTCGATTATTATCTTATTATTTTATATTTTAAATAATCTTCTTTTTTAATATAAAACACTTATAAGATACTTGTAGTATCCCTAATTAAAATATCGATCTATCTGTCTGTACATTTAGAAATAAAAGCCTAATTATTCTATGTGCTCTTTATACTGGTAATTATGTTATTATTACAGTTCCTTTTAAAAAGGAAATGTTAACTTTAAAATAAAAACATTAAAGTAAATAAATTGTATTGTGTATGTACAAATATGTATTTATGTTAAAGTGCTCGCGCAATTTACTTACATCATAACTATATGGTTATTAATAATAACTTTTTAGGCATGTACAACATTTATTGCAATATATAGTTACAATAAAATGTTAAATATAATGCTCAAGGTACTCAAATGCTGATTTACAAAATCCCATGACATACAGCTTCTTTGTCAGCAACTATGTTCTATTTGTTATAAATCCTTTACTAAACCTCAACTCGTCGAATTGTTTTTGTTTACTGTTTATAATTGTTTAAGGAACTGAATTATTTTATTAGACGGATTGAAGTGTTTACACATCTTTGTGTATTTTGAGCGTGCGTAATTTTATTGTAAACTATCAGTAAAATGACCTTTGCTGAGTTTATACATAAAGCGCAGCAAGTTTTTATATACTAAAAATAAGTATGTAATAAAGAGGTTAACAAGGCGTTTTGTTGTTACCAGTCTTTAACCACTATTATTTTTTGCAAAACATCATATGATCATTTAGAATTGATCATATCCAAAAGCAATTTTAATGAGGGGTGGGGGGTAGGGGTGTTACATACCCCTCCCCCCCCCTACACACACACACCAAAGAAGGTGATTTTCAAGTTATAGTCGGTTTTTTACGAATTTAGTCGGCAATTTGACACACTCAGTCGGTTAAATTTTCGTTTTGACGACCTTTTTTTTTTTATTTTAGGAAGCTAGTCGGTACTTTTTGAGCATTTACCCCCCCCCCCCTCTTCATTTTATTCGTCGAATCGCCGTTGATCATATCATTACAATGCATAAATAAATTTTCTTCATGCAAAAAAATTGCTTATTTCAACTTTATCAAACGTTATAACAAAGGCGTAGACAAACTTTTTAGATGATTGTCTTTCTGG